ATGAAATTCAAATGTGTGCATGATATTGCATGGTCTCTATATTGTCTTCATAAGGCGGGATTAGTACATTGTAATCTTCATGACAGAAACATATTTATGCGTGATGACGGAGATGTGATAAAACCATTCATATGCGATCTTGGGCTTTCGCGATCAGCGAATTCACACAAATCAAATGCAAACATCCAAGGTGTTTTACCCTTTATTGCACCGGAAGTCTTCCGTACTCGCAAATTTACTGAGAAATCAGATGTGTATTCTTTTGGCATTGTTATGCATTTGATTGCTACTGGTGAACCGCCTTTCAGAGATAGGTCATTTGATGAAAGTTTAATACGTGATATTATGGACGGACTACGACCATCGATGCCTGATTCTGCACCAGAGGAATACAAGAAACTTGCTGAGCAATGTTGTGATGCTGATCCTGATGAGCGTCCAAGTGCAAAGACACTTTTTTATGATATTGGCAGGCTTTTTTAAAGAGATATGTTATGGCAATAACATATGGTATACCGTTTATCATAATAATGTTAAATCATTAGCACGTTTTGAGAAAGAGAATAATGTATTCTAGTAAGCCCTTATCTATTGGAAATTTGGGAAATAGTTGTTGATATAATAATATTAACATTTAGTGACTCAAGACTAGAATAAAATACTCTTATTATTATACAGCTTTGATTGAAAAGTTAATATTAATGTTAATAAGATTCGAAATAGAAATCGGTGAACGAAATGATGTGGTCGATCGATTTTAAACACGGACTACATAAACCTGCTTCGCAGAGATTTAAGTGCAGCTTTTGTAGACAGTTGATTCAAAAATGCTTCGTGGTTCATTTTTTATTTATTGGTTAGTTCCTTTTTAAATATAGGTTAATTAAAATAAACGCTAAAAATCTAAAGCACGGGTAATTTTGTTCCAGCATTAAGATAATTTAATGCTTGAAGAAAAGCTGCTTCTAGCAAGGCAAGGTTAAACCAAATAGACTCTTTATGTAGTAATTATTTGCTAATAAAAACGAAAATAGCATTTGAAAATTATGTATGTATAATGTTTTTTAACGTTATTATTCTTTTGCTGCCGTGACTTCTCCATGTCTTAATTTTGTCAGTAATTGGGTAATTGGGTAATTGTTACCGTAGGATTGGTCTGATTATATCCACTTGGTTAACTTCACGCAGTGACGGGCGCTCGATTTTTTATCCAGGAACGATCACCATCAACTCATTACTCTGGATTTATTACCTATTCAAATAATCTACGCCGGCAAAGGTAGCTAGTAGGAGAAGCGCACAATTTTATTTCAGCATCTTTTTAACTCAACCCCAACATATTTAATTTATTTAAACGAAAGAGGAGTAAAACTTCGAATTATATGTTTATTCAAAGGACAAAAGGATGTTGGGTAAAAAGCTAAAACTAATATTGTAGATTGACTTTAATAATTTATACGGACAGAACTAACTTCTGTCTTTGTAATCCGAACTACATCTCTACTCCTCGTCAACATCCGACAAGCTCAAATCTGATAAGGGAGGTAACTGATGAGAATAATTTCTTGGTTTGGGCAGATTCCCAGTAGGCAAGAGCGTACTGGAATATTTACTCTCCTTTTCGAGATGTGACAATGGCTTTACATCGTTATGATAGATAGTACGCCACGCGTTGTCATCATCATCAATCGTTTCAATAAGCTCGTAAATATCATTGCAAAGTGTCAATGCATCAGGACGCTTATCAGGATCAGCATCACAACACAGCTCGGCGGCAAGTTTCTTGTATTCCTCTGGTGCGGAATCAGGCATCGATGGTCGTAGTCCGTCCATAATGTTACATATTAAATTTCTGTCGAATTGCCGATTTCTAAAAGGCGGTTCACCAGTTGCAACCAAATACATAATGATACCAAAAGAATATATGTCTGATTTCTTCGTAAACTTGCACGTATGAAAGACTTCCGGTGCAATAAAAGGTAAAACGCCTCGAATGGTTGACTCACGTGAATTCACTGATCGAGACAGACCAAGATCGCATATTAGTGGAGTATTTATGTCGGTCAACAATATTATTATAGCGGTATTTAATTAAATTTCTTTAGATATCGCCATGGTTATTGTATGGAATCCATTTAACCCTTATAATTAGAAAAGGATATTTACCACAATTAATTAGTGGGACTAGTATGTAAACAAAAGGAAGTCACGTTGTAAGTAGAATGCTGATGTTAGTCATTTTCAAACAACAGCGCAAATAGTAGAAAGGTATATAGATGAAGTTTGTTCAGCAAAGAATTTAGACTATGTGTGTATCAGTGCAATCAATTAGCGAAGATGCTTTTATTAAAATTGATATATGTTAAAAACCCAAAACTCTTAAAAATATAGGTATAGTAAGATGTTGAATATTAAGAAAGAAAGAAAAGAAAAGCTAAAGGTGATAGTTTTAATATATATATATATATATAATATTAATGCATTACAAAATTTCCCTAGATAATTATTTTTCGCAAGTTGACTCTTTCGAGAGGCCAAATCTCGCAGAGTTGTTCGGATGTGTTGTTATTATCGTTTTTTCAATTGCTTCGACATGGGCGTCACTATGTATTTCCCTATTTCTTCATTTGAAACTGAATGACTTGAATCCATTTCGAGTCAGTTTTTTTCTTGCTGGAGACTTTTGTGCTACAAATATTGCGGCAGACCTTTCTGTTGCTTCAGCTTATTTAGAGCTAAAATTATACAATCATCGGATTTTCAATGGTTTCGGACACGTAAAATGCCCAACAATTTTTTATCATGGTTGGTTTGACTTTTTCTCAAGCATCTGCAATAAATACTGTTGCTTCTTTGATGGGCAGGTTCTTTATCGCTTGCTCTTCGTTTAATTCGTTAACACGTTCATTGTCTTTCTTTAGGCCTTTTTGCTTTATCGCTTCTTGTTGCAAGAGTTTTGTTGTAAACGTTTCCTTCCGTCTTCCACTTGATCAGGGAGCGCTGATTCACTATCACCTGTTATGCACTTGCTACTAATATCATACCGTTTTTGAAACTTCAATTTGATGCCTCAAAAGGAGAAAGTTGCGCTCCCTCTCTTTCGCTCTATTATAAAATTCGATTTTGAACATTCCTACTGCGTAAACCATTTGTATAGCGCTTCTTCTAAAGAAGGAAATCTCGCTACACGAATACGCGCTTTCTTCAAATCTTACGTTTGCGTGCAATTGTAAGAGCTTTTCTTTCTTTCGAAGAATGCTATTTATTGTCGAACGATCTACACCAAATTCGTTTGCCAATTTTCCATCACTTCCCAAGTGATAAATTTCTTCTTTGCTTTTTTTTCCCCTTGTTACTAATGTATCCATAGTAAAATTAATTTTATAATTAATTCGATAAAGGATTTAAATAGCAGGAAGGTTAAGCAACGCAAACTCGTTTAACTATGATCTTGGCTCAACGTCATCTGCTTTGCTAAAGATGGCATGTTCATGACTTTCTTGATATTTTTATAAGATTCTTGACGTTTAACAATGTCAGTGTCGTATACAGTAATAAATAAATAAGAATATGACCGAGGTATGATATTATTATGATATGGACGGCAAAATATTGGTAAGGATGTACAAAAAATAAAAACCGATGTGAAATAGCTCATTTAAAACGTCAAAAGACTTTTGGATTTAGATTAAAAAGGTGAAAAAAGAAGCGGCCAAAATTTAATCATATATTTATATAGTATCCTTTCAACCTGTTTTTCAATGAGCTCGCAACGTATTTTCATTTTGAGTTAACTAAATTAATTAGAACCGTATCAGGAATTCTCTCCCATTCTTCCTTCCAGATTTTTCGGTAGTCTTTTTTCTACATTGCCTTGACAACGTTCCAGAGATTTCAATTGAATTTAGATCTGGATTGTTAGATGTCCAGTCCATTATTTCAGAAAAGCAAAACAGAGGTTTTGCCTTTTATACAACCCCATGCCATAATTTTCATGCTATCTTTTGAATCAGACTGGTCTTTCTCCCTATGCCAGCGAGAAGCCGTATTTCTAAATGGTTGAAAGTCGTTTCATCACTGGATAATGTGTTTAACCAGTCATTGTTTAGTTGTTTGGTTGCCCATTCAACGCGCTTTTCTTTGTGCTTGCTTTTCGGCAGAAGGCATTTGAAAACGAATTACGAAAAAAAAAGTTACATAGTAATACCAAAATAAACCTTTGTAATATTTAAAACAAAACTTTACAATTTGGATCCAAATTGGGCGAGTTAGAGCTGTTTACATTACGCGATAATTTTTCCAATTTTTTTTTACGCACTGTATCTGAAAGAGATATGGCTGTAAATGGAAATAAGATATCACAGGTCACGCATTTGAAATGCGCATAGTTTCAAGTCGCAAATTTGAATCCAGTCATTTTTTTAATACTTTATTACGTTGAGCATATACTCATACTCAGACACAAGGACGGAAATTTCAAGATGCAATTTTTATATTTTCGCGTTTCAATTTCTTAGTATCAAAAATGGTTATACGAAGCTCACATTTAAGCATTATTAACGCACAACAAACAACAAGTAACAATGCAAATAGTCTATCACTTAATCATATTGAGAGCGCTTGGCCCTAATTACGCCTAATTTTAATAGGGGTCTTTGAATATTCGATTTATTTGTCCAATTAAGGTAATACCATATGATTCCAACATTCTATAAAAACTGTGCAAGTAATTATATTGTATACATAAGAGCTGCGAGTTAAAACAAACTCGTGACATAAAATAAAGTACTTGTTGGAAATATCGACTGTCTGTCAATCTATATGAGTGTTCGATTCAAAATCACTAAAACATGCAGATGCATTTATCCAAAATAGATTATTTTAATCCATCTTTGCTCCATCTATATATTTTCCACTAGGACGGATTACAGGCTTATCCAAACAAATAAGCCTATCTTCGCAAAACAGCTTCCTTCGCCCGTCCAATCAACAAATTTCTCTTAGTCAGTACCCAAAAATATTTCCCAAATAGCTCCTGGCTCTATGTAATTATGATGTACTAAATTTAATAGCCACCATGTGTTTCCAATATGATTCAGCAATTGCTGAGAGGGCGATCCTGGTGGATAAAGATGTTCCCATTCTGTCCAAAGCGCAAACGCCTCTTCCTAAACGTTTGGAATGAAAAGAGAATATATGATAAAGATCAGAAGCTTTAACGGAACAATAGATCAATTTAAGACAACTTTATGAATCGTCTTACCTTCCATGTCTTAAAAGATACTTCTTCGATTATGGTTGGCTGAACAATCTCTTTACCAGGGAATACACCCCATGTAACAGCAGTCGGTGAATCATCTTTGACATTTGTTCGAAATTCGTCCTATATAAACACCCGAATAAATTTAGCACTCGTGTTCTATTTAAATTCTGTTCTCAAAACATAAATTTCCCGTCTGATTTCTGTTCACATACCCCACACGTGGCAGCATAATAGGTTATCCATGGACTTTCCTTAACTTTCTCTAAAAGATTTTTCAGCATCTCTTCGTTCACAAAGCATTCTACAAAAGCTTTCTGATAGACATATCCCCCTCTCGGACCCCATCCAAACACCGGATCATCACTTCTTGCTCCATTTACTGCAGGCTGTGACGAAATTGTCCAGAAGCCAAGCTGATTGAGTTGAAGAAGTTTAACACGTATAGCATCCGTTTCTGCAATTAAAGGCTCTTCAGACCAAGGTAAAAGTGGAGTGTTGCCAGAAATGTAGTCCATGAAGAGCTGCGTTATGTCCGCAACTGTGGTTGGGTAGTTCCAATATGCCAAGGCATTCGGAACCTTCAGGTGAGAAAGTGCAGGTATAATATCATGAGAATATATATGTGCGACAATAAATACCCCAAGCAATATGGGCATTTATAGTAATGAAATGCTATCGGAAGTACGGCACTTACAGGAATTTTTACAGTCCCACCATATCCGTCAACTTCACCAAAAGCTTTAAACAAGTAACCGATGCTTGGTTATTACATTCTCATGATTTTATTGAATACGAGTATCGAAAAGTCTTACCGGGTGACTTTGAACTTCCAAACCGACCATTTGGGAAATTATCCCAATCTTCGGATCTTCCGACATAGTCTGCACCTTGATTTTTCCATATTATCGGTCTAGCTGCAGGAACACTTCCATCTGGTTCCTATGAATGCAATAACGAGATACAAAATGAAAATCGAGAATAATTGAACAATGCCACTACTTCTAATATTAATTCTTCTACCTCTTTTATAATCCCGTTACCATATAGAAAAAGGCTAGATCTTCTTCGATTGTTAAATGCTTGAATTCTTTGTTCCTCCGTCGGTACCAAACCCAACTCTTCCAGAATCAGTCTAACGGATTTCTCAAGATTCAGCGTACATAAATGAAAACCGCATACACTGTAATTCTGACGTAGCGTCGAAATCATTGTAATAGCCAATTGCACTCCGTAGTCTTTAACTGCCTGGTCATCGTGCTTGAATGAAAATTTTTGAAAGGCAGTAAGTAAAATTGACAGAAAAATATTGACGAAATACAGGGAAGCATGTATATAAACTTTGACAGAATCAGATATAACAGTTTAAGATGAGGATATGGCTAGAAAACTAAACATGTCATCAAGCGTGGTCTTTTCAGATAACTACCTTAATTGGTTCCAATGCATTCAAGATACTTGACGGTACGTATACTTTACACAAGTTAATTATTCGTCTGAAACTATTATACCCTTGTATTGGCATGATTCCTGGTATGATCGGTACAGTTATTCCTGAAAGAACAAAATTTTTTTTTACGTCAGTATGTTGGCGTCAAAATGTATACATGTCCACTTACTCTGCAAAAAAAAGGCAGTGCTCTACGAACCAATCTTTCTGCATTCCTTTTCCCATTTAACAAAGATATCAACGTCAAAAAACATCTGCGTTATTATAAAGTCAGCTCCAGCATCAACCTTTTCTTTAAGAAATCTCAAGTCCTGCTGTTTATCATCCGAATCCGGATGTCCCTCAGGGTATCCTGCATACCACACCGCAACAGGATATTAGAAAATAACGAGATTACTCTCATCACATTGATTTCAAAACGTACCAGCAACTCCGATACAAAAATAGTCGCCATATTCTCGTCTGATAAATTTCACTAGATCAAGTGCGTAGTTAAACCCACTATCACACGATGACCAATACTCTTGTCCACGTGGAGGATCTTTGAAATAGCGTGCGAACGAAAGAGAAGGTATGTGTAATGGATGATAATTAAACGGGACAAAATATTAGACGTTGTATTATTAGCTCAGTAATAGTGACATAGAGAATGACGGAAAGCAATCAGATAATGTTTACCTCCGCGTAAAGCCAATATGTTTTGAATTCCGTTATCTTTTGCATCCTACGAGACACAAGTTACGAAATCATGATTAGAGAATCAAAACACTGTTTTCTTGCTCGAATCGACATTCAATATTCCTAAAAGTCCGTGATGTTTTTTTCATTCTGTAAATCCATTCACAATTTATCAAGATATCTCGATTGTTCATTCATCGCTCTCTTATTAGCCCAATTTAATATACTAACATTCAGTGCTTCTTTGATAATATCCCGGTTAACATTAGTACATGTCAAGTGCATGCACGTCTCAAGTCCGAAACCGCTTTGAGAAATGGCACACATTTCGCTTGTTCGTTCGATCGTGCTCCCACCTGCCCCCCAGGTGAATGAGGCAAAGAGGGGATTCAGGTAAGACATACGTTTCAGTCTATCATATAGATTCGCTAGTCCCTATGGAAAGAGAAACAGAATGTTGGACATTCTGAGAAGCATGGGAGCAGAAGACAAGCCAGTGATTACCTCTTCGGTTTTTGGAGGAAAGTACTCGAATGAATAAAACGGCTGACCAGGCGGTAAATTTACTAGCTTGTCGATTATTTTCATTATAATATTTTGTGGATATAAAAACTAAACAGACATACTATCCACGTTTGATCTTAAAAATGAAGAGGCGTCGCGACCATCACGTGGACAAGGGAACTTGAGATTAAACATTACTAAATACAGATACCAAAAAGGAAAAGAATCTGTCATAAAGCTACAAACCATAAAGGCAAATTAAAATCTACCAATTCTAGAAATTCCTATTAAATTCTTGGTTGCTTTTATTAAATCAAAGGATCTAAGGTGATTCGAAAAAAAAAGGGCTGAAAAAGGGCATACACTTACTGATAAGCTTTATGGAAAAAAAAAAGGAAGAACGATGTCATGATGCTGCACCACATAAGTAACGGAAGGAATGGATAAAATAATCCAGGCAGAATCATCTGCAACGCTGCATATATGTCAATGGAGAGTATTTGAAGGAATGGAATAGTTTTGTCGATAATTATTTCCCATGTATTGCTTTCATTAGTAATTTTTAGATTACCGTAAAACTTTTGAAATGTACCCTCCACCAGAAGGCAGTTTTTGATATACACCCGGGTACTAATATAATAGCAATATTTTGGCCTTTTGATCTGTAGCCCATTCTGTACTTTTCTGTTGAAAGCACATAGTAATAGATACACGCTTAACATAATGATCAATACATACATATGCAGACTTGTTTGGGCTTGATGTCGAAATGCTTTGCGGTCGCTCTCACTTTTTGAACGCATTCAAAATAGTGAACAACCATTAGTTTTTTGCGGGCACTCTAGGAACGTCGAGTCTTTTCGGAGACGGGACTTTTTAATAATAATTCTGTTTCGTCGGTACATTTTTAGACTATTTAAAGAATATTATTTGAGATGGAAAACTGGTTTCTCGCTAGAGTTTATAAATTCATGAGCATTCAAAGCTCGAACAAGGTATTATTATATTTTGCTATAATTTATTATCAATAAATAAAGGAATATTCATTTTGTAGTCCTTCGTGTTTAGAACCGTGTATCCGGCGCGTAATAATCAGCAAATGTTCTGGCCCGTAGCGACATTCAGACCCAGTTCGAAATAAGCACATATTATCACACAAACAATGTTTATTAGGTGTCGCTTATTGCTTGTGATATTAGACAATACATATTAATATGGCTATTGCGCTACGGGCCAGAACATCTATCACACTATTAATCATCGTATTTAAACGAATTAGATGCGAATTTCTCCCTTTGTCTACTCAAATCTCTTACGCATAACAAATGGTTTTCAACACGCGCCGCTATTTCGCAACCGCAAGTAAACGTAATGTACTGTGCCTCTTTCTAATATTGTAGAACATTCCGAGGTGGGGGGGAGGCGCATGGTCATAAACTACTTGACGGACGAAAAAAGTCAAACGTGTTGAGGTAAAGGTAGACGGTACGGGCAAGAAGATGGATAAACTTGAAACGATGGCGGAAGGTATCGAGGAAATAAAGATTTCATTACGAAAGTTTGCGGCGGAGCAACGCAGGTAACGGTTTACGGTTTGAGGTTTATTTTCTTAGTTGATATTAATATAAGAAATCAAAAAAAATTACCGTAAAACTCCAACGTAGTTACCCGGGTATTTCCTAAACAGATTTAGTACTCAGCCCGAGAAAAAAGCGTGACACGACGTAACGTCTTCTCTTTATTACAGTTCTGGCCCGTAGCTCGTTTCGCAATTGGCACAGCCAATAAGCAACATCTAATCAACATTGGTTATGGGATAATAGCGAAATAAAATGTGCTTATTTTGAGAATTCCGTCATAATATGTGTATTAATTGGATTCTCATTGGGCAATAAACGGCACGTGAAATGTCTGAATCATCGGTTAATCAGAACGGCTCTTCATATGCAATTAACTTGAAATTTATTTAACGAGATCGTTTCTTAGTATTAGGAATAATTTGTCAAGATAACAATAAGCCTATCCGACGTCTACCAAAAACACGCCCGAAGATTATGGCGTGGGGTGGAATTGCGTTGTGATAATGTCTGATAAATAAATAATCACTTTACAGGCTCCCTTCTTTTCTATTAACAGTCATCGGTATGACAGCGCCCAATAGAGAATGATTCGGAAATAAAGACCGACAGATATGGCGGTACCAAACTAGTTATAGTATTTTTTTTTCATCAATATTAATTAACGTTTCAAAATAAGTCAATACCAGGCAAATGAATATTTTCGGTATTGTTATCGAATTTGGGTGGGGTTATTTACTTTCACATCCGTTTGACATCTCATTGGCTATGTCCTGCGAAAATCAATCAAGAGGTTAAGGTTTGTTGGCTACTCATTTAAGATTGGCGGAAAAACAGTTATTCGTTTAGAAATAATATTTTATTGTTGAATTAGTAACTTCATTCTATTACTGTTTTCTTCAATGTTGTGCCAAAATAGTTTTTTTTACTATACTATGTAATATAACAAAACTTATGGGAAAAAAGGTGTATTAAATCCTACTTCCGAGAAAATAATTTTCATCCATGAGATCATTGGTGTTAGGATCCCACATGTGTCCCTGGACATATTTAATCAGACTATGCCATCTAGGCCCTTTAAAGTTCTTCAGCTCATTAAGATGTCCTCTGCATAATTTTAATGCCTCAGGATCCCGCGCAAAACCCTCCCGTACAGCCTCTACCATAACAGCTGCAGCAATTTCAGCAGATACAGAGCGAATGCGGGTTATAGACGGATACAGCAGTTCTTGAGACCTTTCTTCATCCGTGAGAGAGCGGGCGAGAGCGGAAGAGGCAGCAAAGATCTGACGGTCAGTGATTATGGGTGGTCGAGCGAGAATTGCACCAAGACCGAGTCCGGGGCTAGAAGAAGACAATAACAATCAAGTTAAGACTCGTCATAAAGAAACCGAAAACAGATACGATTGATGCTTTCATTCATACTTACAATATATACATATTATTTCCTTGTCCTGGTACGTGAACTTTACCAGTTTGGGGGTCTGTATACCGTGGGAATCCAGTCCCTGAAGCAAAAATAACTCTATTGTTCGAGTGTATCATTGCCTAATTACACACAAATATTAGTAAGTAAACGTAGAATAGCTTTATCTAACAATTATTCCATTAAAAATTGCTTCCCCCCGTTATCTAGTATATCTTATCAGAATCTAACCTGTTCAAATGTACATTCAGCATTTACAGACGGGTTCGATAGTGGAAAGATTATTGGGCGCTTGTTCAACTCTGCCATTCGTTCTATGACGTTCGCAGAAAATACACCTCCTTGGGATGAAAGTCCGATAAGAGCAGTTGGCTTTACATAGTTGATGACGTCCATTAAACTCTTGTACTGTTTCCCTTCGTTGTCATCGCGAGCAAAGTATATTTTGTGTTTCGCTAGCTTGTCACCACGATCTTTTGTCACAAGACCCTATTGGTATGAAGACAATGAGTCAAACAGTCGAAGATAGTAGAAATTGTTGTCAACCATCATACATACCCTTGAGTCAACGAGCCATACACGCTTCTTGGCTATCTCCTCATCCATGTCATGTTCTCTTATGAAAAAGTCTAATAACTGCTTGGCAACGCCAACACCAGCGGATCCTGCCCCGAAGAAAAGCAGCCGATGCTCGGTCGGGGGAACATCATTTTCTACGAGATGTACAGCATTCATGAAGCCAGACAAAATTACGGCACCCGTGCCCTGAATATCGTCATTAAAGCAAAAGGTATTGTCTCTGTATTTTTCAAGCAAATCAAATGCCTATTCAAATAAGAAATTAATACGAGTTAATTAATATTCGGTTTGGTTACATGGAACTAGTAAAAAAATCACTAGTTACGCACGTGTTCAGATGAGAAATCTTCAAATTGTATCAAAAGATTTGGATAAACATCATGGAGGGATTTTATTACTGCATCGACGAATGGATAAAACTGCAGGATTTTTCAGGACGAAATGTTAGCATTTTCAAAAAACTTTCTTACGAATGCAGACAAGTTTTGACATTTTCTCATTCACACCTCATCGTCTTCCGCTCTCTTCCTCCTGGAACCCAAGTATAATTCATCGTTCAAGTTCTTTTCATTATTTGTCCCGGTATCGAGAGTGATTGGGAGTGTACGTCGGGGATCTATTCCAGCAGCGGCGGTATAAAGTTGCAGCTTACCGACAGGAATACCCATTCCATTGACACCCAAATCACCAAGACCGAGGATACGCGATCCATCGGTAATTACGGTAATTTGTGGTGTGAGGGATTCATCGAATGGGAAAGGACGGTAATCTCTGATTATTTGTGTTAGATGTGGGAGGTCATTAAGAGACAGGAATAAGCCATCCGGTACACCAGGAGGTGCAAGAAAAGGTGCAATATGGGAATATTCTAGGCAAGCAGTGCCCACTGTTGGAGTGTATATTAGCGGTGTTATTTCCTGCGTAAATATGATTGAGGTCAGCACGAATATTTCTTACCAGAGGCTACCGCTAATAATATGTTTCTTTGATTTTACTACTTACTTCCAACTCATCAATAACGATGCGATAGAACAACTTGACATTAGTATTTCTCAACCAAGCAAGGAACATGTACTTATCCAAATTTGAAGACTTGGATCGTAGTTGAGTGAGAGCACGCTTTTTCTGCAAGTCCATTGTTTCTACAGAACATGGCAAGAGACCGCGGGTATGTAATTCATCCCGTCGAGCTGTCGTTGCACTTGTACCTTTGTTGTTTGAGGGGTGAGAGAGGGAGGGGAAAAAGAAGGAGAGGAAGGGAAGGGTGGAGGAGAAAATACGTTCAGATTAAACGAAAATTCAAAATGTATAATGACTCGCTGGTAAGTTGAGTGAGGGAACCCGAACACTGAATTTCATTGTTGTGTGGAAACGTCATCCCGTTAGAAATGCCGAGCACATAGTCTAACTGGAATCCAATAAAGACGCATATATTATTACAAGTTCGGGGAGTTAAACATACCTTGGTTGAGGAAATGTGATCTCGCAAGAAGGTCAATACCGGCCTCACTTGATAAAAATCTACTGTTGGTGATAGAATTTGGCATTATGAGTTTGTTTAGTGGAGAAAATTTTTGAGACGACGCGTAGAAATTCCGACAATGAAGGTCAGCGAAACGTTTTATGCATGTGAAATTCGTGTAACTTCGCATAATAAGGATTGGGTGATTTGAAGCACTTTGTTCGTTTTTTTATTTTCTATTATTGGGCGTTCCTGGGGTGGCTTTAAATTTCATAACTGATAACTGCAGGGGTGACCACAAAATAGAGACACAAGGATTGAAATTGTATTGAGAAGCAGTAACTTAAAATTAAACCCTAATCTATTCTTATCCGTGTATGCTGACTGAATCTTCAATGTATTTTGAAACACAGTTGAAATCACATTTTAGAATAGAGTGTCATTGGTAGTTTGGTACTTGACCATTTGTGAGTCACATTGTCTTTCCAAGTTAGTTAAGCGATCCTGAAAATGTATGTAAGCCAATAAAGACGTGCATAAGACGAAATTACAATTGCGTGAGATTATTGCCAATTTGAGACATGTCGGAGCGGTCCGCGTTTCATTGTTTCATTTCAGTAATGAGGGGTAAAGCTGATCCATGAGCATATCGGACATCTTTACAAACATATGCAGGTGGCTCGTTGCATGTCAAAAAACTCCGCTCAAAAAAAGTGAATCCTCGTAGACCCACCCAGTCCACACTTTGCACTGTCAGGTGTTCATACATGGTAATAGTTGCACACATCGGGGGTTTTTTTTCCGGAACAATGTTTTTGAGAGTAATACGATGTTTGTACAATAGAAATACGTTAATAGAAATAATGAACCCAAACCGATCAGTAAAAGATTTGCATTGGTAATAAAGGTGGCTAAATAAGTTATTCCTCGTTGTTGTGAGGTGAGGTTAGTCGCAAGAAAGAAAAGGAAAGGTGGGAGATGAAAAAGGGAGCAGATAGACAGGGAAATTTCATGGATAACCTTTCCCTTGATTGTGTTTGTAAACAGAGTGATCTTGTGACTTGATTATTATTTTCGGTACAATAGGAACTAATTGTTTGGTTAACACTGCCTAAGGTTTATAGCAACTGTATCGCTTTATTGGGAGATTATTGGTGATACTTGTCTCGCAAACTTTGATGCAATCGAATAGCATGTGAGAAAATACTAGATAAGCCAATAGTTTTTGATCACGACATTACTACTGACAGTTAATAATAACAAGGTTCAAATACACAATAATAATTGTGCTTATGTTTATATTTATGTTTATGTGCATATACGCGCGTGTGTCATAGTCCAACTGTAATCATGATGAGCGGCCTAGACGCGTATTTTCTATGTTAATAATCCATTCCAGTACATTGTCATTCGGATTAAAAAAAAAAAAGGTATCCTCGCATTGCTAATTCATTGCGACTGATTTTGCTCTGCTGATATTCAATGATTATGCTTTCGACTTAATATACAAGGATTTTATCCAAGAAACTAGTTCGATCGGGAAGATACATTTTCTTACACATTACCATTCACTTGCATCCGTTTCCCGTTTCCCCCGACCCTTTTGCCAACACTTCACCAACCTGTCTATGAAATGAAAGCTTTTTCCATTTCCCCTTTTTTCTTGTCCCCTCCCCCCCCCCCCCCCCCCCAATCACCAATTAACTACTGTCCACTATCTTCTTGTCCATTCACGTTACTTTCTGCGACAACCAATGGAGTAGTAGCAGCAATATTGGCGTTCACATTTGCGTGTTGTACGATAAGTTTAGCATTAGCAACTACTTGCAGGATATCGGCCAGTGATTCCTGCCAGCCTGCCAATCTGTCTGCCAACTGCATCCATTGTTCTTTAGTGAACGTTCGATAAGTTGACCGATTTACGAGTATTGTTCTATTCACTTGGTTTAGTTTTGCTTCAAGCAGTTTGGCTCTAATAACTATTTGAATAATCATTTGATGACATATCTGAGCTGACAATAAAGAGAAACGGTTCCGCCCAACTTACCATCAATTGTCCACATCTCAACCTCATTCTCGTCAATTTCCAATGCCCTCGCAATATCACTGTATGAGATTTCGGTGCCTACGTGCCCCGAAGAAATCGAAGCCAGCGTTAAAAGGCGTATCTTGCGTATATTGTCTTCATTCGAAAGTCCTAGTACGTGTCGATAATTCATTGAGAAGAAATTTCTTACATGGTATACAAAAATTCGTATTCGCATGCTTACCAAGTTTTTCCACTAACCCAGGATTCTGCTCGGTAAACGTCTTGTATTCTTTCAGTGTACTACCAAGAAAGATTTTTAATAACTCGAAAAGCTTTTCATCCTTTAAAGTTTTTACAGCATCCAATTCCACGAGATTCTCAAAACTTAAAATTTCAGGTAATTGAATAGCCTCTGTGAGAGCTCGAGTTGCGGCTATCTTTGCTTCCGTATAATTGTCGCTTCCATTGAAAGTGGCAAGGTATTTTAAGAGAAAATCATACGATTCCTTACTATCATTCAATAAAGCTAGTGTTAGTCGTTTATGGTATAGGATCCAATTATAATAACAACTCGACAAACTCTCGCCTCGCTATCTATCACTTACGCTTCCCCAGCTTCTTTTAAATTATCAGAAATTATTAAATATAATTCGCGTTCTTGTTGCTTTGTTATTGCCCACTCTTTCACCCAAACGTCCAATCGGGGTAGTTGCGGTAAAATTGTATCGATCTCGTCATTCTTTGCTGCAATGGTGAGTACAGCCAGAAATACGTCATATCTCAGGGGTGATGTGCTTTCAAGTGTGTTGTAAAAGTTTTGCAAACTATCGACAATGTCGCGTGAGTAACGATGTAATGATTAAAAACGAGGGAGAAAAAGGGGAGGGGAGCAAAACCTACACTTTGAGTTTTGCGATAGTTTTATCCCGATCATCGTCAACCAAAGCTTTAATTGACGTTTTTACGAGTACGGGACGTGCCTCGGGGGAAGCCGATTGCAAGATGACAATTAATAAGTTATACATCGGTTCGAATTCTAAAAGTTTGAAAATATGCGATTGGTATATGACACCATCGAATTCAATTTATAAAAAGCAAGCGAAATTTCCAACCTTTTTCCGGTGCATCCAGTAACGCCGAAGCCTCTGATGCGAATGTGGAAAATACTTGATCATATTTTTTTTCATCTAATAGGGTGTTTATGGATGTAACGAATGCGCCGTCTTCTTGCTTGAGTTTCGTCAGATAAACTGCAAAATCACGGATCTGTAATGAGATATCAGGTTTTGTATAGTTTGTAAAAGTTAAATATTCAAACGCAAGTGAACGATAGCCTATATAGATCACAACTTGAATTAGTCAATTCGCTCAACCCTTTCCCGCGTTCTCTGACAGGCTACTGACCTGTTCTTCTAGTGGTCCCTCTGTGAAGACTGTGTTAACATACTCCATATTTTAATATATTAAAAAATTTAAAATATTGCTTTTCATCAACCACCAAAAAACTGAAAAAATTTTTTTTGTTCGCTAATCGGAATTGTCCGGATAAAGATTTCTGTTGTGTCACAAACAAATTGTACGAGTCAAAAGGAAAGCATGGTCGGTCGTTTGGACATTAAGCCACTTTCTTTTCACGACAGAAATTATGTAATGTAAGTAGTGACACGAAAACTAGGGAGTCGCTACAGATTCACTGCTGTCGGAGATGACCGAACGTTTGATATTGAAGACATTTTAAGTCCCATAATCTGTATAGGCGTCCCCAGTAAAGAACGTCTGGTTAAATGGCAACGTTCTACAAATCGTATCCACAGCAATCCTAACAATTAGGGATTAGGAAAGTCTTTTCTTTTTTTTTAAATCTAAATTATCTGGTGAAAATTAATTTTTTCGAGCATGAGATTATCTATTGATATTCACATCACTGCTTTTTGATCATCTCTCAATTATTCCGACACTTTGTCAGATTTTTTAGGCTTAGTTCGTGAATGGTCTTTGCTTAGGGATCCGAACCTAACTCTAACCCTAAATCCAAACCGAATAACTTGTTGAGCTATCAGAATGGAAAATAATCCGACCATTCGAATATTGAAGCACAATTTATACACACATGTGATGTTAATTCAAGTGACAGATTAAAACGACAACGGATTAAACCGAAATTTTGTCTATTTAATATGAATTTTAAATTTTGAGGGACACTTTTTTTTTTGGTAACAGAGTATACATAGATTTCAGAGACGTTAAAGAGGATCCAATTTCTAATTTTCTTGGGTCAGACTCCATTCGACATTCGGAAGAAACCGCTTGTCCTCCCGTTGAATTATGTGGTATGATCGCTGCTCCGGAAATACCGTTCTAGTATTGTATTATGCTAGGGGGGTACTGTACCAAGGGGTAGTAATTCTCTTGTAATACATCGTAATTCATAGTATGCATATAGAGATATTCGTTATGTAAAACATGACTTTAAAAAGTACGTCGTCAAATAACCTCGATGAGAAATGGTACAATAATACTACTAAATACCGTAAATGGGTAAAAGTACCCTACTTTACCAGTGGACAAGAATACTAAGCAAGTGGTGAGATTTATCGACCATGGGCATTCGTAATTACTGGCAACTAGGAACTGGGTATGCATGTTATAATTGGATAATGAGATTTAGAAATCTAGCTATTCGATTGGTAGTTGTCGCGGAAGTTGAATTAACTTGGGATGGTTTCAATTTCCTGCTTTAAGCGCAAACTCTTGGCATGTTACGTCCGGCAGCAGGCTGTAAACATCAACGTGTATGCATGTACGCATGTTACAATCGACATGATGACAGGGTCATCGCGTCCCGGCAATTTTTTAAGCCCTGAAAAAATTTACGTGTCACTTATTACTATATTCGCTTTTATTAATTCTGTGACACTGAAAACGTGCCACAGAGAGTTTGGTTTTTCTTTCAACTTTTTTTTTTTTTTTACATATATAGACATTAGTCGATAAACATCCTATAATAAAATAATATTCTCAACATGTTTGCTCTCCGACAAGTTACTTCAACAACCAAGCGCGCATTTTCCTCTTCGGCTGTTTCGGTTAGTTGCGTCAATTAAGTGGTTGCGTCAGAAGGAGTGTTATTTGCCAAGCACATTTCCGTGAACTTATATCGTTAATACAACTACACATATAAATATCATGTTCTGTGTCGGTTAGCAAGCTGCTAAGGTCGCTGTTCTGGGTGCTGCCGGTAAATTGTGTGCAGCATTTGAATGATTATGTGCTATTGATAATTTATTTACCCCATTTATATGTTTTCTCAGGTGGCATTGGACAGCCGCTTTCTCTGCTGTTGAAGCATAATGATTCCATTTCTCATTTGTCACTTTATGATATTGTGAATACTCCTGGCGTGGCAGCAGACTTGAGCCATATTAACACAAAGAGCAAGGTCAATACTTTTGATACCGTTATGACCACGTGATTCTAAACTGCGATCATGTCGCAAATTATCGAGAATTGACTTGTTCGCTCAATCTTGCATCGTTCTGCAGGTCACTGGATATGTTCCTGCTAATGACGGTCTTAAGCATGCGGTTACTGGTGCTGATGTTATTGTCATTCCGGCTGGCGTTCCGCGTAAGCCTGGTATGACGCGTGATGACCTATTTAACGTATGGTTATTAATTGCGGTATCCTTACTACTGTTTACGCAGACACGTTGCTTGCAGGAAATAATTAAATTTTTTATGTATTACCTTCTTCATTAGACAAACGCTGGAATCGTGCGTGACTTGGCCACAGCTGCTGCTCAGTAAGTTTGTTGAGATACAAGTTCTAGACCATTATTCTGAACTGTATCAACAATATGACACTTACGCTTCTTTCTGCAAAAAAAAAAAAAGATATGCACCCAAGGCACATTTAGCCGTTATATCCAACCCCGTCAACTCCACTGTTCCGATCGTCTCAGAGGTGCTCAAGAAACACAATGTCTATGATCCTCGCAGGTAAGCCTTGTCTTATGCCGTAATGAGTCGATTAGCATACTGGTGATGAGACGCTCATTGTTTCCAAAACCAAAATAATAATGTGTTGTGTTATTTGATTTTCAATAGAGTGTTTGGTGTGACAACTCTTGACATTGTTCGTGCCTCACGCTTTGCATCTGAGCTAAAAGACACCGATCCTAAGAATGTCAATGTCACGGTTGTTGGTGGGCATTCTGGAGTGACTATTGTGCCATTGCTTTCGCAATGTCCTCTCAGCTTTTCTGACGAAGAATTAAAAGCTTTGACTCATCGAATTCAGTTTGGTGGAGACGAAGTGGTTAAGGCGAAGGCTGGTGAGTATCAGTCACAACGTGATAAAATATCAGTTTTACGCTGTCATATCCATAGCATGGTATTTTTATCAAGCTATCATATATTAATTAATTAATTGTATAACCATTTTCGATAGGCACTGGCTCTGCAACGTTATCAATGGCATTTGCAGCTGCTCGATTCACAGATTCCCTTCTCCGTGCCATTGTCAAGGGCGAAAAAGGAGTTATCGAACCAACCTTTGTCAAATCAGATCTATATGCCAGTGACGGCGTCGAGTTCTTTGCATCCAACGTTGAGCTGGGCCCCGACGGTGTCAAGCAAATCTTCCCTGTAGGAAAACTTAGTGATTATGAACAAGAGCTCATCAATGCTGCATTGCCTGAACTGAAGAAAAACATTGAAAAAGGAATCAAATTTGCAAATGAGAATTAATTTTATGAAAATACGATTTAATGTCAAGTTCACCGGCGAATAGTAGACTAATAAAATAGAATTTACAAATAATGACCACGGCAGTGTGTTGATGATTCTCCAGCAAGTGTTTAATCGGTTGGCTACATTCTTTTCTTGACGATTGCAAGAAAGCAATAATCTCTGGTTATTTCATAGATATCATTCAACGTTGTATTTTGACAATTGAACAACATTACAAAGCAGAAATCATTCTTATATCCATAACTTTTAATTCCGTATTAATAACTAACTTGTTGACATGAAAAAAATTTTCCGCATCAAGTTCGTTCAATGATAAATAATCCACCTTTTGAGCATTGTTTTTAGCATTGCAAATCATGAACGGATCAGATAACCAAAAAACACCTCCCATTTCCGACTTGTGACGTCACATCGATGTGTGACAAGATCAATGTTTTAAAACGGTAGAATTATCTGTTTGCCAACAATACTATGGATCCAAGCGAAATACAAGAAACGTTACTCACAGAGAGGATTCTTATCCCTTCGGTGCATGACAATAAACTTCTTCAAACACGTGTGTCTTACTTGAATCGAGGCGGAACATTGAAAGCCGCTATTATTTCACATCCATATGGGCCACTAGGTACACAGAACAACCAATTAGTTTTATGATTATGTCAGGTTGTTCACCTAATACAAGTCTTGTAGGAGGAAACTTTAACAATAATGTGGTGGTTGCGATCGAAGAATTCTTTTTGAGTAGGGAATATCTTACCTTAGCCTTTAACTTTAGGTATGTCTCAGCGCAACCAAAGTAAAGCAAGTCTTTTTTTTTTTCTTGACGGCTTATTGTCATTTCTTATCAAGAGGTGTAGGAAAATCGGAAGGACGCACCAGCTGGACAGGTGCAGCCGAGTGTGATGACTATCGGACAATGGTCGACTTTCTCGCGAATCAAGGAGAAATTTCTGGCAAACGAATCTTACATATTCCACCAGTCTCGGAGATTGTCATAGTCGTAAGTTTGTTCGCCCTATTGTTAACTAGTGCGATTTTATAACCAATGTCTTTAACACACTCGTTACTTCTTTCTATTCATCAAAGGGGTATAGTTATGGATCGCTGATGGCAACGTCACTGTCGTCTTATACAACATCTGTACCTCTCTCGTTTGTTATAATAAGCTATCCATATTCGGTCATCTGGTTTCTAACGTTCTTCTGTACCTCCCAATACCTTACTTGTTTTGGTGATCTCGTGGCCTCGGATGAGAGCGTCTTATTTGTTTATGGAGATTCTGATCAATTCACTAGTGTGAGAAAATATCGAAGGCTTGTCGAAGACTGCCACCTTACTGAAAAGCCTAATTGGACTGTCAGAGAATTGGACGACATTGATCATTTCTGGTATGGGACTGGAATGGAAACAGCTCTGATTGACGTGCTGAAGGAATGGCTTAATGCGCGTGAAACAAAGAAGACTGTTAATACTATCGACAGTTTATGAGACATTTATCAAGACTTAATCTGTGGGTGATCGGGATTATTATTTTTTTCTGAAATGTCCAAGCAAACTATTTCTCATCTGAAATAATATAATTTATTGAGAAATTTATTTATTTTACGGTTACAAGATTAGTTAGGAATACATTTAATGATTTATAAATAAAGGCGAGCATTCGTCTTTTTGACTCCTGCTGGTTGCATCTGACACGTTATATCAGTCATCATGTCTCTGTCACAGCGTGAAGAGAGTAAAATATGCAACGAGAATTTTACGGTCAAGCATGCTTCCCAGCGAGGGTTTAAATTTACCCTGTAAAGTGAATCAGGTCAATGAATGTGAACGTTACGTGAATATAAGGCACTTAAGAGCCGTAAAAAAATCCGATCAACGTGGGAATAAAAAAACATTGCTTCTTTTTTTTTTCCACTCGCAATTTTACGAATTAATGGTGCGGAAATGATTTCATTCTTGTACTTGTAATAGAGGCTCTAACAGAGGTTTGTGATTCGATAGCATAATTGCATAGTTATCGCATATTATCATCAGGATTGTTTTAGCGCTATTTTTCGATTAATATTAATGGGAACAATCCCAAGGACTCAAAAAACAGGCACTAAATCTCTTTCCTATAAATAAACCTATTTGCCTTATTTGGTTAATATGTAGCAAGGGAAGGTAAATGAATGGAACAAACGCATTCCAATTCTGTTGCAGTATCAAAAAAATTTATTTTGCGCAGATGAACATTTACAACTAATCAGTAAGTCTCTGGTGCTGTGTCAAACTACCGATTATAAACTTTTAATATACCATCAAATGATTTAAATTATGTTTTGACTTTTTTTTTTTTACATCATTTCCCCTTCATCTTTTAAATTCCTAGGCTCAATGCGCACTTGAGCCCCCTCACAAGCATTGACCAATCTAAAACTAAATTTCAAAGGCGAATCCGGATTAGCCAATCTTACGTTGTACTTTCTGTAGAATGACACTAGCAACGTCTTGATGATTGTCAATGCTAGAGTCTTCCCAGCACACATCCTCATTCCGGCTCCAAAGGGTAAGAACGAATTTTTCTCGGCATTGGAAATAAGAAATCGTTCAGGGAAGAATTTATCTGGATCTTGCCAGTGTGATGGGCACCTGTGTACTGCTCTGAAGTTAATACCAAATTGAGTGCCCGCTTTCCATTTGTAGCCTCCGACTTCCTCGTCACGATGGCTGTAGCGGAAGTTTAGTGGTCCGGGAGGATGAAGACGGAGTGCTAATGAATTAGGCGAAAGGATTTATATGACGTTAGAAAAAATCATATCAAAATCTGACGTAATGGTTTGTTGGAGTGAGCTGACGTTAGTAATAGTACCTTCATTGACGACGGCGTCACAATATACAAGCTCACTTAAATCGTTATAAGTTATCGGACGATCTGGATCTTCAGCAAAGTGGGCATCAATCTCAGCAATCATTCGTTGCTTGGCCTCTGGTTCACGCTCGATACAATCAACAACAAATCCAAATGTAGGAGGCGTCTACATATCAACACAATAAATAGATTGAGTATACTACGTTCACAGATTTTCTTGGTTCTAACAATCAAAAATGTTGACATACCGTTTCATACGCTCCAATAATAACCTCCCATATAATGACTCTAATCTCCTCGTCGGTCATGGGATCTTTCCATTCACTTCGAAGCTTGTCGTTAATAAGATCTCTCTTGGTGTTTGCAGTGATATACATACTCAACAAGTCCGGCTTTAACGGTACGTTATCCGGGGTATTTTCAATAACCCGTCTTCTCTCTCTAATTATCCCGTAAACGACCTCCTTAGACCAATTATACGTCGCAACTAACTTCTTTGTGAAAAATCTAAACACAGTATTCCTAACGAATCGAGGGAAGAATAAGAAAAACTGTGCGGCCATGAAGAAGCTGTGGACGCTTTGGATTAATTTCTCTGTCTCTGCAAACAAGTCCTGGTTAATCTCGACTTTCTCAGATGGACGCAAAATGCTAAAATATTTAGCCATCGTCTGGGTGTTTTTTCCAAGAGTCATAAACATAATAGTATCACCAATACATCGACGTATCCATGATGGACAATCGATGACATTATCATAACCAAATTTATCCCAGTATCCGGTTAATTCTTTGAAGCATTTCTCGGTCACTACGATTGCTTCTTTGTAAGCCTTGGGTGTCATGGCTCGATCAAAGAACTTTCTGTAGAACCTCCACGAGTTCAAATCAGAGTTGAAGGCCAATGCGTGCTTGGATATGCCCAACTCGTCTAGACCTTCACTTGGCGAGAATCTTACTGGGAATGCAGTTTTGGTAGATGCACTCATGACTTTATCCAATTGGTCAGCTCTATTTAACCAAATTTGCCGTTCAGTCGCTATGTAGAGTTCAAACATGTCCCCATATTTCTTTTGGAAGCTGTTAATCCAGAGAGAGAAATCACCTCCATTGTATTGATAGAGATTACCAATTAAGGGAAGAGGAAATGGACCCGGGAGTGGGTTTTCTCGTGTAAAGTAGTTGTAATAGAACCGGAATGCATATATTCCTATGATGAGACCGAGAGTAATAATCAAAGTTGAGACGTCAAATGTCAAGAATTGCGACTTCATTTTGATGGCAATTAGCGTTATAATGTCCAGAATTATAAAATGACCAATGAATTCTATATCTTTTTTTTATTTATTTTAACTTTTTTTTTTCCTTTCTGTAGATTTATTCTATTCCGTGTGCCTAAGCATAAAGCAAGGGTGTCGATACAAAAAAGAAATGACAATTCTTTTTCGTAGCGTACGAAGGAAACTGGGGGGCTTCCGTGCACATTGATATTTATTGATATTGGTGGTGGTGCCATCTTCGATTGATGACATGCAGAGAATAAACTCAAATGCCTTTCCCGCATATTGTGCTCGGCGAGTAGTACAATATTAGGAGTAATGATAAACACAAACTGAAATAGGTTTATTAATTCAATTATCGGAAACATCCTATTTGACATCGGATTGACGGCCTTGCCTTTGGTGAAGCAATTTGAAATGAGTGTTCACATGTATTACCTTTCGAGATATTAGCGTCGAAATTCATCGTTTTTAATCCTTACCGTAGAACATGGTAATTACAAAATCCCGAGAACCCGAAAAGTCTTAATTGACCAAACTTTTAAGGTTGAATGTGAGATCTGAAACAAGGGGAAAGTTTAACATGCACCATATTTGGAACACACGGCGCTTGGATATCTATTACCGAGAATTTGGTATTTTCCCCATTCGACAATTCTATTTCCTATTGGCAGTTTTAGGTCACCATTTTTCGCGGTCTACCACCCAAGAAAAAGGTGGATGACGACATCTAGCTTAACTAAATTAAAAGTTGTGAACGTTATGAGCTGGACGCAATTTAATGTTTACGCTCTCTGACTTTTCTCCCCTTTCAAGATTTGAGTTGGGATGTTTAATTTCGGATTAGGCAATAGACCAAAATGGAGACTTGTACCATTTTGTTCCTCGGACATAAAAAGAAAAATAGACAATACACACATAATCAATTTTCAGCCTTTGCCAGGTAAAGCGGCTGAAATACCCCCCGTCCGCTCAATGAGACTGTATATGGCTTAAGCTAAATTGCGATTGGGTAGATCGTCTACGCATTGAGTTACAGGAACAAAGGGTGCTCTGATTTGGTAGTAGTAATAGAATTAAAATCAGCAATCACTGCAGGGGAGGGATGTAACATAAACAGTATAAAAATGGATGGGGAAGGAAAAAATTTGGAACAAAAATAATAAGGAAAAGGATCCAACAAACGGAAAAGGAATATCACAAATTTGCCGTTGCCTGGAATCGAACCAGGGTCAGCGCGGCCACAACGCGATGTACTGCCACTATACTACAACGGCGCCTGTTATGATAGTTGTACATACATAATTAGTTTAGCTAATTACTCGCAGGAAATATACCCATGAAATAGAAAGTCGATATGTGCAACTTATCGTTATTGGCTATTAATATTAATATCACATGAATGCAAATACTAAACTTGTATTAGAAGACAACTCATACTCGAAAGAAATTGACGTGAGATTGTAGCAATCATGAACGTAAACAGAAAATTTAATAGCTCTGAAGATGCTACCAATAGTTGCGCACTCAATAATAATTGAAATACAATATGGCAAGCGTTTACTACTAAGCAATTAGCAAACGTATTAATATTTATCGAGTATTCTAGCTTTTGAATGACAACAATCACATATAGAAATTGAGCAAAGGGAATGCAAGCGGCTCTTGATGCAATAGAAAAGACTATTCGTTGGACCCGATTTAAAAATTTTATGACAAACAACTGCCGTTACAAGCAATTTTCGATAGGGGATAGAAATTTGTTGGGCTCATTCGAGAGTCGCTTGTACAGACGAAGACAAATGCATCTTTGACTTACACGAGCGATTTGCAAGTTCTAATTTTTAGTGGCGGCGATATTTATACTTGTCTTATAGTTTTACTTGGTTCGATAACTATTAACAACCTTAATGTATACTTACAACCGTAAATCTAAAAGTTCCAAGAAGACTGGCTTTAGCGTCTTGGAAATAAAGTTTTACCTTATTAGAAGAGACGTTTATTAAATGCCAGATATGGCTAAAACGTCTGGCATACAAAATCTATGGCATTAATGGCAATCTATTATCAAAAGTATTGCTCTCAGCAGAAAACGCAAATTCTTTGTTGTCACGGTATTGTCCACCCTATATTCATTATTAGGTAAACCTTTACTTCACGGTCTTCGAGCGAGTCGCTTCGTAGGTTATTACATTATTTTATTTACGGCGATTCTCCACTAACAATACGGAACCTTTAATTCGAGTTACGCGATCTTTATCGTATCGTATGAACGATGACAATTTGCAAACTTACCGTTCCGATATATTCATAAGTTAATTTCACGTTACGTGTTTTAATGATCCAATCGTGTTCTAACGTCAACACTACCTAAAATTAACAATAATTTTACATTTTGGAGCAAAAACCAAGTTTATCCGACAATAAAGAATATCGTCCAATCTCTTTAAAGAAATTCCTAACTCATAAGCCAAATTCCTTAATCAGATTTCATCACATAAATTTAATTGTTGGCAACAATGTTGCTGGATTAGAGACTGATATGATAAAAAGCCATAATTCAAGTTAGAGGACTACTTAAGTGTGAGTCTGTATCAAAGTTGCTTGCGTGGGTTGGATTTTCGATGGTCAACCATTTTCTTTGCACCAGGTTGTCCAAGGTTCATGACGAAGTATTTCTTTAAAACAATATCGGCGCAGATAATGCATCCTGCGCAAGTGGGCTGCACATCGTAAAATGAGCAGTATTTTGCACGGAAATGAATGTCAATAATTATCGCAGTCATAGAAGTCTCCGACTTTAACGGATTCCCGTTTAGCCGTCCACGGAGCGATTATTTTTTTTGTTCTTTATCTTGACTGGCAGACTCGATAGTTGATCAAAATACTTGTTGAGTATTTATTAATTAATACTAATCGTGAAATAATTCTGTAAACTAGCTTGTCTTAGAGAATTGAGGCCGAAGAAGGTATCATAGTCCACTGAATACAGTACCCCCAAATAATCTCCCCCAAAATTAGACCAGGGAGGATATAAAATAATCGTTAGTTTTTCCAACGCATTCCAACTTTCTCAGTGATGGTGGCTCTTTCACGTGCTTGTTTCCACCGCGGTGTCCAAGAATGCACATTAACTGCTCTTCAAAGTCCTTGTACAATACCCTCCTCACATAGTACCCCGGATACGTATCAACAATCAAGATGTTTTAAGTATACTGTATTCAACGGTCTACGGTAATGTCTATCGGTTTTCGAGTCAAAAATCCTAGTCGTAAAGAGTATTGAATGATAGATGTTTGAAGATCGTTAATACTATCTATCGTATGATGTTGTGATCCACCAATAGATAATGGAAATCTGAAATGTCCCCCCAGTTGACATTCTTGGTAACGGCAGAAGATAAGATAATCTACTCAACTGATTCTAAATATTTACTAACGATCCTCCAGAATCTACACAATAATTTGGAAATGCAAGCAACTTGGTCTCCATTACTATTTAGTTTTAGGATCAACAGCATGACTGCGTTCAGTTGATTAGCACTAAACGACATGATTAGCAATTAGTCAAAACGTCTTGCATATTAAAAAACGCAATGTGAATGCACGCGCAAGCAAAACCACAGTAAGCCTTCGTGATTTTCATGTGTTGCTAAACATGAATAAAATATCAAACGGAGACCATGTTTTCAAGCATTGAAGAACTACCCAACAGTATCATTTACAATGATAAGTCGAAGGCGCAACCAATCACAATCAAAGCTTAGTTTTAAACTATTTTAAACACAGGACTTACGTCGATCTTTGTCGTAACTTTTAATAATCTTTCACCCCTCCTTTATATATTCCAAAGACGCATCAATAATATCAATAGCGTTGAGATAATAAATAGAGAATAAATTATCTTATTTCCAAATGACAACGACAAAAGTTCCGCCTCATTTGGAGAGCAAAATAACCTTTCAATTTACCATAAGGAACGTATCTCAATTGTCAGGAGAGGTGTTTAGCCCTCCATTTGCATCCAGCTACGGGAGTGATCGTTTTGAATATAACAGGGCGTCTTCGCCACTGTTTTGGCAGTTATCATTTGGGGTAAGTGCAACATTAGGTATATGGACAAGGTTCAGACTGAATGGGGATTTTAAAGAATGGAGCACCAAAATTAAGTTTAACAATCAGTATGAGGGCTTGCTGAACCTTCTACTCGCTCTTTCCCTGTCACCCTAATGATCAAGTCTCCACAGACGAATAATATCCGATCGTAGGGTCATACATGCTTAATGAAATCAGCTCGTTGAAGAAACATGTCTTTACCTCCATCGTTCTAAAAAGCTTTTTTTTTTTGCCTCATTCAGGTGAACAAGAAATCTCCGGAATATTGCTATGTGCGCTTGATCGCCATACCTAACGCTCACGAGAAAGTGATTCAAACGCTCGCAGCGAGGAGAAAACACGTAACTGCGCGCTTGTTTTTAAAGGCATCACAATCATCAGCACTGTACTTGGCTCAACAGCGAGTATCACCTCATAAACTAAACCGGAGAGTACTCGACCGAAGTGAGTTGATGGACTTTTGGAGAGAGGGGATATTGTAATCTCGATGGCCTATGAATTATGAATTAGTATTTGCGGTCTTTTTTTCTTGTGATTGTTGGAATGATTTTATTTACCAAAAGTTGACATAATACTTACTATGGAATGTCGTTCTTTGCTCTTCTGGTCGCAATAAATCCACTACGGTTTATTCCTCGTAATTTGCAGCTGCACCCAAATTTTGGAAACGTGTTACAGTCGCAAAAGATAAGGTAATCGTCGGCTGTGTGCTCGACCACGCAGAAATCCAATCTGCCAAATATGCCACGCTGCTTCCTGACAAACCCACACCTCGGTCTTTACTTGCCGTCTGGGGTAGTTATCTGAACAATCCCTCTAAAAGTGATATCTTATTTCGTGCGCGAGGTGGGTCGTTATACGCCGAATCGAGGATTCTGTCGGCCAGGAGTCCGTACTTTCGTGCTATGTTTAATGGACAATGGGCCGAGACTAAAATGAAAAGTATCGAAAGTCAAATGGAGGAAGCGATTTGTAGCGATATTGAGAAGGGCGAGGAAAACCAACGAGGAAATAACGAAATGGATGGCATGGAAGACACAGGAGAAGGAATTGGAAAACAAGACGCGCAGGAAAAAAAACAAGGAGAGGATATATCTGAGAAAAGAAAATCGAAAAAAAATGAAGGCGAAGAGAGGATGGATGGAGATGACAGCTCAATGGAAGAAAGTGAATTTAGCGATGAAGACCTATCACTGTTTGATAAAGCTAAGGAACAGCCTATGGAAGTTAAGGAGGAGGAAATGGATGATGTCGAAGCGGTGACGGAAGACAAGGTGGGCAGCATGGGCAATCAGTTTGGAACGAGTAACCGGCCAGTTAGTTTTGCGTCTACATCGGGGATTCAGAACGACGCATGCTCTATTAAATCCCGCCTAAGCTATTTGTCATCCATACCTTCAAAAGCTCTTCCTGCATTATCTTCTCCGTCTTCATCCACTTCCTCATCGTCCTCATCTGTATCTTCACCCTTGCCCCTCCCAACCAAAACTTCACAATATCACGTAATCGATCTTCCCGACGTAGCTTATCCAACCCTCAATGCTCTCCTTCTTTATCTGTATATTGATCTAATACACTTTGATGCCGATCCCAAGTCCTCAATATCTGCCCTTGCTATCTATACTCTAGCCGATCAATATTGCATTTCTGATCTTAGTGAGCTGGCGAAAGCATCTATTCTTGAAAACTTGAGTCCGGAAAATGTGGCAGAAATGCTGTTTGGTTCCGGATATTTGTATCCGGAATTGAAAGGGCCTTTGTTGGAATATATTATCAGAAATTTCAATGATGTGAAAAAATCAGAAGGATTTAAACATGTGTTGGATCATCCTGAAGAATATGAAAATTATGCAGAGGTTATTAAAGAAATTTTTGCTGGATTGGAGGCACCAAAGACCGAGTCATAGAGAAAGGGAGTGGGGGGAGGGGGTGGGGAGGGGTCACACCGGAAAACTGTAATCAGATAGGTGAATGAATCTTATATAATGTATAGATGTCAAGTAGAGAATGGGTTTGCTATAATTTAGATAGGATGATAGATTATTAACGAATATTTGATGTGTGGGACATTCATAGTTAAGGGGCATTCGAGAATTGGACTCTTTTGAATACTCAAAAAAGCGACAACTAAGAAAGTCATAGAAAACGGAGACATCGCGTGATTTTTATCGGCTAGTCGGAAAGAATGTCCCGTTAGAATAGAAGGCGAGGCCAAATTAGCATTAATTATAATGACACACCATGACGATTGATTATAATGTTGCTTTGCGGCTTGCTATGCGTTTAGCATTGATAGAATTTGCTGTACAGTATCTGGATAATGTTACTGTGCTGTGCGTGAGCAAATGAGTTTGCTCGTCGACGAGTTGGCGTCAAATTTTCAATTAAATGTATCCGATCCCTGTCATTGTTAATTTAGACTGTATTATTGAGCTCTCACACGTATTGTATCCCAGAGGAGGTTTCTGATGCACAACCATCTCGCATGTAACATGGATATACAATTGAATACTGCCCGCGCAATTTATGAGGATAATTTCATATACTGTAGCAACTTCTGGTCGACTCGCTCTAATATCTATTAGCCCGATAATAATGGGGCTTAAAATTAATGCCGAGTAGTTTAACAATAGCGAATTCTCTGTACTCCATTAGTTACACGCACGATTAACCACGAAAGTCTAATTTTCGCTACTCACACTCTTTAGCAAAGATCGATACTTTTGCGGGATATATAATAATTTTAGGTATTAATATGCCTTTCACATGTAGTGAACACGACCACTAGATAGGCTACATTTAAATGCGCATTTACTGATGTACTAAATATGTTAGATGGAAGCAGAACGTAAATTTATCAACAGTTATCGTTGCAAGGAGCAGATAATAAACCGGATTAGTAGGTTTTTGTATTAGTACTAATAACAATAACAATAATATATGGTGACGATAATAATCAAATGTATAAATGTGGTAATGATAATAATGAAAATTAATAAATGTTCCAAGGGCAATAATAAATGATAATAAGAATTAGCAAACAAGTTCAGAACGAGAATTTCTCTTGAACCAACCAACTATTCCATGGTTGTGTTTAATTGCAGGTTTTTTGACAAACAACAGGATCGGTGCTAATATTGGTAACAATTAATAAAACGAGAATCGAATAATGGTTAAAGATAAAAATTAATTATATTTAATGGCGGTAGTAATGGTAAATGATAACGGAAAATAAGAATTTATGGTGAATAATAACAAAAATAGTTATTAGTTTACGAGCAAAAAAATATTAACCCATTAGGGACAAGTCGAAAAGATAATGTTTACTGAGCAAAAGTATTGAAACTGCAGTAATGTATAATTCTATTTATAATAGCTGACAAGCTGTTAATAATTTCGTGTTTGAATTAGTACTGTATACTAGTTTGAATCGACATGACGACGACTGTCTAAGGTTTATTAATTTTATGCTTTCTTTACAGTCAATTGCGTAGTCAATAGCTTATAAAAACAATATCTGCACTGAATACGTTAATATTCTTTGTATCTATTATTAAAGCTTTTTTCAGTCACACATTTCAGGAGTCGTAGTGCAGAATGTACGTTTGCGTTCTTTACTGTTAATGTTTCGCGTTATTTATTACCAAACTCAATGCGTCTTCTCTATTGCTAAAACCTTGCATTTTTCATTAGTCATTTGCTGACTGTCAACAAAATCATGTTTACAAGTCGGCTAAGAACGTCGCCGACGATTATTCGCATTTATAGTAGCGATCACACAACAATTTGTTCTGATACAAAATTACGGAATCTGGTTAGAAAAGCGCCAAAATGCGAATATTTACATTTTTATCGCGCATACATCTCGACACATTACACGCAAAGAAGTTTTCAAAGCATTTACACACAGCGATTGTATCACGAGAATCACTTGATCAGGCAAATAAACTTCTGTCAATCAGATAATAATCTTTAATATTAACATTAAAAGAGTTTAATTGGCCAGTGCATTGCCAACGCCGTTTCCTCCAGAGTTCTCAGACCTAACGTTATGTAATATATGTATTGTTCATTACGACACATAGACAATAAACTAAACCGTTTAACACGGTTGTAATATTACTTGGTTCCTGAAAATCTGGATTACTGACCAATTGCTTTAATGGTAGAAAAGAGTAAGTTACCCCACTGTTTATCATTCAGATCAACAAGGTTGGGAACTCTGTCATAAAAGACCCAAATAATTAATCGACAGGCTAATAGCTAATCCAAGAATCGATCGGGTACGACTTAACAAGCTTACACTTTCCGTTTATCCGATCTGCTTGTAACACTTTAAATTAAACCAATCGATCATTCACCATCTAGTCTCGTATCATTTGGTCTTACTTATAGCGGCCCGGCACAAGTGGATCTATAGGAGAGCTTACCGTGGTTAGTTCATCGAGTCGCACACAACGGAATGCCCAACACTCAATCCAACAAATAGTTAGTCTGCAAAACGTTAACAATGCGACCATTCTTCTATCGTGGACAGATGGGGAAAGCGGGGCAGTATGACGAACAGAATAATATTAGGATTTTGCAGGGCATGATCGGCACGCACTTTGTAAGTTTTAGAGAAGAAACCACGCCCTGACAAGGCATTTGTGCTTACTCATAGAAAATATTAATTTACCAACATTAAGATACGATAAATGAAGTTAATAATACTGCGTTTACACAAAACAATAGATTTGTTTCACCAAAAAAAAACAAATGAAAGTTTGTTCATTGAGTAATATATCACATACATTGCATAGAAAAGGTTAACTTCAATCAGTTCGGATTTCTATCTTTTATGGGTAAGTGTATCTCCTTGAGAAGCGATTCGTGAATAATCGATTACGAACTGCGTAAAGTTCTCTCCCCAGATCGAATTAGGGACTATGCTGTGTCATGGTGTGTGTTTGGGGCACTGTTGTCTGTGTTTTCTTGTAGGTAAATCGGAAACAAATACGGATATCGAACACAAACGTTGAACGGGTAGAGTTTATCTCACAATATAGATAATTACTTTATTATCAGTAAAAATTACATATTAAAAAAGAAAAAGTGATATACATTACAGGTGATAATAATCAAAAGAAGGATAACCGCTTTTCTCTCCCCCACCACTTTTTTACCATTTTTTGCCCAATCTACCATAATTTAGTAATATGTATAAGCTTTCTTTTGGGCATAAAACCTATAACAGTTTTCATACACATTTGATAACTCAATCTCATTCATTATATCATCAACCAGAAGAGAGTATCGATCATTATCTAGCCCAAATGATGCCACAACTCGTTTCAAATTTCTGCATATCCATCGTGTATCAAATGCATGGATGTACCCAATTTTACCTCCCCATCCGCCAATTGGAATGGACAGTTGCTTGACTAATACCTTGTCAACAGCACCAGTTGATTTAAAGTGGTGTGGAATCAAATGTGACATGACCATGTTTACACGATATTTACTGAACAGCTCTGTTAAAACTAAATACAATTAAGGGGAGGAGAAAGATATGTTAGAGTTTTATGTGTTAATGAAAAGGTGTTTGTGACGTATTAAAGTCTGATTAAGAAATACCATATATAGAATTGATTTACATAATAAACCAGTACTCAAACGCTCAACTCACCTCCTCTTCGAAACTGTTGGGCGTTAGGTCCTTCATTATACCAAATCATGTCTGTTTCCATAATTTCTATCCATCCACCTGGACGTGCCACTCTCGTCAATTCATTAATTATTCGAACCCACTCCATTTGACTCAAACGCCAGCCCATAAATCGCATAAAAACAAAATCAAACGTGTCGTCCGAAAATGGTAATCCGTCAAGGACGTCTTCGGCGATAAATGTTACATTTGGCGGACCAGTGTCGGTTGGTAGAAATTGACGATAATCAACGCCCGTAAAGGAAGAATTAGGATATTGCAGAGACATATCAACAAGCCAGGTGCCCATTTTACAACTTAAAAGTGGAACATGAGTGAAATTAGTGGTTTTTCTCTAATAATAATAATAATAATAATAATAATATACAATGCAAATTTTGTTGTCTACTTACCCTATCTCAAGTACTTTGGCATTTCCTTCAGATAACACTTCATGAACGGGTGATGAATAATTTCCGACCCACGCATATTTCATCGAATAGTGTAATTGTTGTAACCTATCTAACTCGTCATCATCGTAAGGAAACACATCTATTAGAGCCTCGCTTGGTTGGAACCAACGTTTGGCAGCTAGTTTTTGTTCTTTGGGTTTTCTTCGTCTATGAATAGATGTGCGTAGCCGGGAAATGACAGACATTCTTGTCATTTTTATACCAAATAGTAAAAGAAAAAGGAATGTGAGGATGGGTTTATTTTAGGAAATTGAAAAGAACGAAATGTAAATGCGGGGTTAGTGAAGAGGAGAGAGAGAGCATCGAGGGTGGGTATTTATTACAATGTGGCGGGTGAGGGACGATCGCGATTACATTAAATTAAACCCGGGGCAAAGATGTGATAAGTTTAACAGTGCAACAAATTTAATATATTTTAATTTTCTGGTATTATGTATAACCGTCATTTCTGTAAGTAAGCAAACTGTTGTCTGTGATTCGATCAAGTTACAATATCCCATTTTACCGTCTCGAACAGCATAATAAATTCGTATAACGTATCTCCAGATTCATGGAAAGCTACCCAAATTGGGGTTTTCTCACCGTGAGTACACGGAGATCATTTGTCATGCGGAATTACTGTTACTCCAAATGAATTTTACTAAAAATAGTGAAAAAATTATATTGGATAGACTTATTATCTTTTGCTTTATTATTCTTTTTTTCAATACTCGCGCATTTCCATACGAATGCAGGAAGATTACAAATTTTAGTATTATATTCAAGGCTTGTATATGCTGTGAAAAGAAAGTATTTTATCGTCGATCTCTCCTTGAATTTTTCTTATCCAGGAGAAGCTGTCCTCATTGGTAAATATACAGGTTACATTTCCATAGTAATATTTGATGATGATTGGAAACAGTGGTGACTTCTAAAAGCGGAAAGCATGAAATCACTCAAACTTCATGCGCAAGTCCGATCAATAATAATCCGTGTGAAGGAAAATTGACCCTCACACAACGATGCGTTTAAATAACTTTTACTTCAAATGCATATCGGTTCAGTTAATTTAGCTTGTACAATCGCATTTGGAGTGATTAGGACTTTTCTCAAGAGAGATCATTCACTAATGCTAATTCTGATGCTAAGGCGTTATTGTTACCTGACTGCTTACAGTAACTTTCGTAAAGAGTTTTTAAGCATAAATGACTGAATCGATTCAATAACATGTGCGTTGTGTAACGAATTGCAGATATAACTATTTTTAACATAATTTGTACAACTCTAATTCCAAATACGAACCAATTATATTTCACATATACAAGGGTCCGAGATATATGCAGCTTATCGGCAGGCCTTCCGTAAATGGGATTAAGCTTTTTCTTCAGAATCAGGTTTATTTCTTTATCATCAGGATAGTTTTTTAGTCACAATTGGAACAACCTTACATAATCTCATGATACAAAACGAGTAGCAATATTCCCGCATAAAAGATTTCAGTTTTAAAAACAGTAGAATTTATTCAAGAAAGAAAGGACAACACTAGTGCACTCATGTATTGCAAAAAAAACTTTTTGTTATTCAGCATTATCTATGTTAAAGTATTCTCTATCTCAATTGTCCAGTTACATGTAGTAAATCGTACATTCCCACAATCAACTATATACGGTTAGTATCTGCGAGGACTTGATTTCGTAAGCACGCTTCAGTCACTATTAACGACGCGATGTTTCGTACGCTTGGTAAGCTTATCAATGCATGTTGCATTCAAGCTTGACGATTAAATTTGTGCGGCTAAAAAATGCCTTATTATTAGAGTACAAAATCGGAGACTAAAATTAATGCTAGACATATCGAGCATGCAACCGGTCTTAAATTATCAGCTCATGCGGGTTGACAATCATTTTTGCACCATAGCACGTTAATCGCCCAGGAAAAAAAATTGTGGCAAGGCATTGGTTAACTGTTTCATGATGGGAGAAGCAATTCCGTGTCTCGATAAACTGTTGATACTTGGTCAGTTTAAGTTTGGCTCTAAAAATTTAGAGTTAATCAGTATTCGAGAAAAAATTCACGCGTGTATTACCGTATACCATGCAATTTGAATTTTGCTTTAATCATGCCTTTGAGCATGAATTTTATGTTCTCGATCGTCGGTCTCCGCGATACAACGTAATAGTAATCCGATCGTTGGCTTGATAAATGACGTACAATATTGGAAACTTTTCACAATTGACAACAAATAAGCGAGTATTTTACTATAGAGTCAGGACCAACTATTTACTTTAAGACGATTACATTACAGTAAAAACTACTGAAAAGCAGAGATTAAAATAATAAGCATATTAAAACAAAGTGGCTACTGTAAATAACCAAAAGGGAAATGGTCTGGCTGCTTCCATTCTTGTAAAGAGAATTTTTATCACGGAGAATAAGTCCGGAGAAGCAGGTTAAACGATGAAAGTTGAAAAAAAAAACACACAAACAAAACTAGACGACGGGCAAAATAAATAAAAGGTTTAATATAATTGATACAATAGTCAATGGCCAAAGAAAATATACTCGTTAACGAATTTAGATCATCCCGTTGCAGTTATTCCATTACTATTAGTAAATGTGATCACAAAATGTTATATTGTTAAACCGGACAAAGTGAATAGTGACGTCATTTTTAAAAAAAAGTGCCATCTATTATCTAATGCACTGAGTTCGTATTCGCTGAAGAGATATTAGTTTCTGACATCTCCTTATTCCAGTAAAAACTTTTTTGCAACAGAATTCTGGCAGTTACGATGCAGCAAATCAGATGTGGATTTTTTCTCCTTCCCGTCACATGACCCACAATTTCTAAAAAAAAAGAAAGAAAAGACCAACCAGATGGTGTTTCTTGCATTGTTACCTTTCTGAAAAAATTAAAACAAAAAAATCGCTCAATTTAAAAATGTAACGCTTCGTGCCTTTCAGAACTCGTCCAAACACTCTGTATTTTTTTACCAAACGAGTCCATTTCTCCAGATACCATATAAGCACGCCTCTGAAGAACCTCATTTGTGGCAGGAAACCATAGCCACACGGTGTTGTGGTGGGTGGGACGTAGCGTTTTTTAACAAGCACGCAAAAAAATAAAAATAAAAATAAATAAATAAAGGCAACCGACGACGCTGACGTCACCACATTCTCCAAGCAAATTAACGTAATAATCTGGATAACGAAAAAAAGAATGCACTTTATATTTACAGATACTTCACCAACGACACTACAAAAATAAATGTTGCCAAAACTATCATGCTGCTATCAGCGATGAAGAAAGTAGAGTTAATGACAAAATGACAATCGCTGTTTTGATCCACCCTCTTATTCTGTTACATTATTTATTGCTTGTTCCTTGTATAATAATTGGATCTGTCAATTCACTTTCTCTGTTATTATCTGCAGTTACTATTACTGGCTATTTGTCTGAACTGAAGAGGAAGACAGCATTGTTATTGCAAGTCATTCCACCTAGTAGATCAATTGTAATCTCTGGTATTAGTATTTCTAACTGATGACTTGCAGAACATCACAAATTTGCTGTCTGTACTGAGGCTTTAATTTCTACATTGAGCCTAAAATTTTTGTCAAGCATTACTGTGTAAAACAGTTTGACAAAATTTACAAATTTAGCTGGATAATTTTGAAATATCTTTTATGCCAGTGTTATGGCTAAACATGGGTCTGGGAATCCTTGTGCAAAATTTTCATTCTCTAGACCCCAGGATGATTTACCTTTCAATGTAGCACAATCACAATAGTAATAGATCTGCAACCTTTCAAGACATTCTTTCAAATGCCACAATTCTTCATCAAAGCTGATCATTCTCCTCATTGATGAGGCCTGCCAGCATAAGTGGTACCATATTAATATACAAAGCCACAAAGGAGACCACTGACCAATTCATCAGTGTGCTGTGTGTTCTTTAGAATAAGAATCCTCATAATTACTCACCACATACTAATACTGTTGCACTTGCCAGCACTGAGAGTGTTAGGGGGTCCTGATTGGTCACACAATAAACTTGGTGTTTATCTCAACTACAGCTGGCCAGTTTATTATTATCAAAGCAGAGGTCAAAGTAAAAAAACCTTTTGATGAGTTTGCTAGTACTAGGATAGAGCGGGAAAGTTTGAATCAGCTAATATTTTAGCAGATATTTCAAACTTGCTCTTGGCCATAAAGGTCTTGTTGGTTTCTGCAGTGAGTTTCATATTTCATGCAGCAAACATATGACATTCAGTCCTCTTACTCTCTGATTGTAATAGTTGATTATTGGAGAAAGGCAACTATCTATGAGAATATATATTAGATAAGCAACAACATAATCTATAAAGTAATCTCTGGACCACTTTATACCAGAATCAAGTCCATTTTTACTGGTTCTCTGTTATTTTTATGGTATTTATGAAGTAAATTGGTAGGCTTATTTAAAAATAATTTCGATTTTTCGTACACGTGTAACTTACCCAATGTGAGTCCGAATCGCGTCATTAAAAATGCGTGTTTTTGTTGTTATCCGCTCGCAGATTTTTGATTCGAGTTCGTTTGCTTTTTCCTTAATCAAAGTTAAAATGTCACCATCATCTAAAAAACACAACGTCAAATGCTATTGCATTTATGGAACAAAGGGATACGCGATGCTTTTGAATTGCACTCCCATACTCTTATACCGTTGAGTGCAATATATTATAATACTATAACTCGTTATGGTTCGCACTGACAAACCTATAGCAATGTAGACAAAGGTACATCAGAAAATTACGAGAATGACTGGTGAGGATACACTATTTCACTAGGTGTAATCCATTCGATGCTTTAAAATTTTGGCGGCGAAACGATGAAATGCGAACTTGTCTCTATAAATAATAATCTTATTTAAATCACGTGATAACGTAATATTTGATTTGCGTAATATCCGGGTCTTTTACAATTTCCGGATAAACTGCTGGAGGGTACCTATATCTTTTAGTCAGTGCTCTACGGTACGCCGAACATGTTAAGAACATTTGGTAAAAGATTGTCTTCTTTTCTGAGTACAGGCAATGTAAAAAGAATGCCACAATAAAAACTAAGATGGTTAGAAATGTCAACCGAATCGCCCAATTATTTTTTTTACCGGCGGAAATGAGTTACGGCATTCATGGTAATATTTGTTTGAAAAATATCTAGTGACGTCACATGTTCACTTTGGGGGTTGTATGATTGGACGTACGGCAAAGTTTTTTTTTTTTAATTAAAGAAAAAGTAGATCGAACTTCATTAAACATTGATAAAAGACCATGAAACCCGGAGCGGTAACAATTCTTTCCTCGCATGAGGTAATAGAATACGTCAAAGCTGTTGAACGATGGAGCAGCCAACCTTCAATAAGTTTATGTGTGAATGCGAATGAGAATGTGATAGAACAAATGACAATGGAAGAAGAAGAAAGCGTTGCGTCTGGAAGTACAAGTGGAAATTTAATTCTTGGAGATAATGTGGTGGTGACAGAAGAGCGTGAAATTCGTGTGTATTTTATAGGTTTGGACTCGGTGAGTTATTTAAATAAACTGGTTCAAATCCTGTTTCGATGTGATCAAATTGTTGTATCTCAACTACCAAGTCTCGAACTAACTTTTAGTTTTATCTATCGTATTCTCGACACGCGGTGTTTTTCCTTTTCTTCGTCCCTTTCTCCGTACCTTTAGCCCAATCGATCCCGAACAGTAAAACGTCTTCGATCTATACAAATTTCATCTGACCTACGACTTTGTAGTCCCGTCAAATGTCTAGAACTACCATTATCGGCTCGTAATTTCTATGCTATTGTTGAAGATACATGCAATGGACGTGTAGGTATATGGTCGTGTACGGACACTGAGATCCAAAAGGAAGAAAATGAATCGATGAATGCAACGATGCCTGAGGGAAATATAAAGAAGGTTAGTTTCGAGGCGATAAAGCGTGATGACGGTTACAATTAATATACAATGGGTATTTGCGGCAGTGTTGTTTGTGAATGTAAACCTAATACAGTTATCTGTAGTTTGATTTTCCGATATTTAGTGTGGAGATATCTCCCACTCGACCGTATGACTTACTGTTGATAAATGGAGACGGTGGTATTTCATTAATCACAAATGATCTGACGCGCATCAGAGATGAATACAACCCGCCAAGGTATTTTTTGAATATGGGCTATTATATTACCTTAAACTTTTGATGCAACTATATATTTTGAAGTACACCGTATATAACTCTTTCATGTTCAATACATTCTTCTCTTTCTCTTAATACAAGATCCCAAACGGTCCGTTGGTGTACGTTGTTCTCTCCCAAATCATCCTTTTTATCGTCATCGTTCTCTTCCAAAGATGTAATTCTCCTTACGCTCAGCAGTAGCAAACTTGGTGATAATTCACATTCAGTTGGTTGGTTGGATTTTTATCACATACGTTGTAAGAAAGGCGCTGTTGACCTATGGGCGAGTTTACAGGTCGAGGTTAGTATGGGTTGGACAATATAACGTGGGAGATAAAATTGCACGTGAATGAGAGGATGGATCATAAATAATGACGTTTACACTGAAGGGTCAGAACTATTATTGTTTTTGACAGGATGAAGCAAACTTTATATCTTGCGGATTTCACCCTTCCTTGGGCCAATTGAGTGTTATAGGTAAGCAAAAATTATCGCGAAATTTATTCATAATACGAGCGATTAAATCGATTCTTTAATAAACATCACCATCAGATCAAGCAGGTGTATGGAAAATCTACAGAATACACTGCTATCCGGGTAAGAATGCCACTCCGTATATTGATAAAGCATCGGGAGCAATTGTACTCCCACTAGGAGGATTTTTACCGTTTTCTCTTGCAAATCATCAAACAACCCAAAAAAAGTCGCTACTCGAAAAACAAGCACGAGATATGATATCGATAAGGCCCTTGGGATATTCGTACTGGGCTTTACTAGGTGCGAGGAAAGTTAACGATACCGATGGTAAGTGAATAGATTAGCGTTCTCGCATTGGTAAAATGTTACGTTATGGAATTTAATTTAATTTTTATGTTTCTATCGAGAAATTCTTAGTCGAACATGTGTTAACCATATGGGATGGAATATACTTTACTTTACAGACAGAACATATAGTTGGAGTATCCGAACGCATAAAACATGTGCTGGCAAGTGAAACACTAGCCTATCAGGTAACCATCTCTGCATAAAAAAGTTAATATACTGCAATTCTAATTCGATATGACATACGCTGACGTCTTCGTGGCTTATCATATTTTATCCCAATTGTTCCTAGCTATTATCCACACCTCTCGAATCTTCCCATCTGATCTTGGCAACACAGAGATCAACACCCAACTCCGAGCTTATGAACATAACCATACATAGCTGTCAATACGTTAGCGAGAAGATGACTATGCTACATGCCGTTGATCGTATGAAGTACATGGTGAAGTACTTTGGCATAGATCCCAATGATAGAATTTCTGGCGGACAAGGATTCACGAGGAGTGGATTTGATGCTGTTGGACATTTGGACTGTGTATGTAGAATTACGGTGGAAATTGGGGGGGCATGGGAGAACGAGTGAGATTGTCAGGCATGTGTTGGAAGTGGATAATTAAGGCATTAACAAAATGACTATATGCAAAATGGGTGATAAAATATAACATGAGTTATAGACAGATTTAATACTGACATTTTTCTTATTGCTCTTCCCATTTTTCCGGATTCCATTTTCCATCACAAACGATTCCTCCTCTATTCCTCCCCCTCTAACGTCAATACACCAAAGACGCCACCAGATTTCTCTCAGACAATTCTCCAAAATTACAAGACGACTCTCACTCAACTTGAAAATCTTGAATCTCATACCCTCAATAATATGTTATCTTCACTTAATCCCGATGAATTCACAAAATATTTTATGGAGTATGTTGATACTAAAACACGCGAAGCAAAACAGACATTTCAAATAAGATATTCATTAAGCGAACGCGACATGAAAATATATGAAGAAGAAATGATGGAGAGAGTACAGGTCAATGGAGTTAAAAAGAGAGGTGTGAAGAGAAGTAATAGCGATGCTAATGGTGGCGTCGGTAAGGGTGACGAGGAAGAAGACGAAACAATGAGAAACAATGGAGGGAAGACGGATGCCAAGGTCTCGAAAAATAGATTCAAGGTAAGCTTTAATGCGAGTTGGTCATGGAAAATTGACTGCAAAATGAGGATAACAAGGTAATCTTTGACTTATTCGAATATTTTCTATAGGCCGCTATGACACCGATGCTTTCACACCGTTTCATCCTCACAACCTTATCCAAGTGTTTCACGCGTTCCGCTGAAGGAAAACCGCGATCAGATTTCTTTTCTGCCAGCGTAATAAAGTATCTGATCGAGCACAATCTGTTGTACGATAATGCAGTCGATGGAGGAATTATTGAGGCGCTTGTTGCACTGAACAATTGGGTACGTATATAAATTGGAATGGTAGTTAGTGATGGGAAAGGTACGAGTTTATGCGTAATAAACTTTATTTAACAATTGCATATCTATCCCCTTCCCCTCCGAAAATCATTCATATCGAATTTGCTATCATTCAGCACCTCCTCCGCTTAACCGTCTTATCCGTACGTGATATATCCGAACGTTCATTGATAAGCTTAATCAAGCATGCGATTGCCTCTTCGAAGAAGGATCACGGCAAAAACCTTCTGCTTCAGAGATGCCTCTCCCTCGCGTTATGTAAACCAAGGAACAAAATGTTGATGAGATATAGCTTGCAAGAATTGACGGTCAGAGAGATGGTAGATGTATTTAAGACCTTGGTTAAATGGTTTGGGATGTCGATGAAGAATGAAGAGACCAAAGGGGGAATTTTGATTGCAAGTAACGAGCAAAGTATGGTGGAAAGGGCGCAGAAAAATAGCTTGCCGAGATTGGAGCACGTAAGTTTTGGATGGTTTGTGTTTGGTGATGGAAAATATCTTGAAAAAAAATTTTTTTTTTTCCAGAAAATTATGTAAAGAGTTGGTATCAGGCTTGGGGATCATCTTAACAACTCTTGTACTAATTTTCGCATAATCAATTTTAGATCCTCGAATTTCTCTCATTGCTACTCGATGCCCACTTTACAACCGTAATTCTTTCGCCTTCTCTTCACCCATTTCTGACATCACTTAATGAATATACATCATCGGAACTGTCGAAATGTCAATTGTTACAAAAGCTACATGGTCATCTCTATGATTTCCATCGAAAACACGTGAAGAGACAAAAAAATAAAGGGGAGAAAAAACTGGCAAGGAAGGCGTTTGTGCATACTGGCGGGATCGAGATACCAAGTTATAGTATCGAAGTTTTCAAGTTATGAGTATGAATATTTGAACATTCAGGTATATATAGACGGAACAAGAACGGAAAGAAAGTTAATGGTAATAATTAGGGATAGTGGTATGTTACAGTTGATTGTAAGTTATACTATTGCTAGCGTGTTTTGGTAATAAGTGTGTGAAGTTGCATATGCCGGCGACGGATGTAAATAAAGTGCAGAGGAAACGATAGATCCGAAAACACGAATAATCGCTGTCGTTCAATTGATATTGTGTTATATTTGCAGCTACCAAGATTGTTGTAGATAAACTAAGGAAACAAGAAATCAGAAATATTCGGCAAAGATTATCCTAGAGTTGTCAAACGCAGGTGTCTTTACTAAATTCAATTGAAATTGTTCGCCACCACACCGCACAACAGCGCCACACGCAGTCACAGGCTTTGCCAAGGAAATTAAATCGTCATCTAGTTTCGTATTAACATCTCCTTTGTCTATTCGTTACTTGCCACTAAAGCCAGCTTATACTAATAATATGTAATTATAATATAAATCATAATATATTTTTTTTAATTAATATTAAGGCTCAAAGATTCCTCTTTGAATAGTTGTTAACTAAGGTGAAGTATTTCTTTTTTTTTTAGCCATCACGTGTTTACAATTTAATGATAATATAAATAAGGTTAACTTCGAAAAAATTTGCAGAGAAATAAGAAATAGAAAGCATGTGTGGTCACTTTTGTATTTGATGCAGACAGTAGTAAAGTTAGATAGGCAAAGCAAAAAAAAAGCTTCAATGTATTAATGTGTACATTTCTCAAGACTTGTGGTGGCATTGCTTAAACTAGTGAATCGGTATTATTATTTGCAGTTTTTATTTTTAATCATTATTTCTTAGAATGCTCCTAATAGTACTACAGTTTTTGCTTCGTAGTACGTTTGATGTAGATTATTAATTTTATACTACAATTTTATATTGCTATTCTTTACATGTAATGTTTATATTTGTCTGGCGGTCAGAAAAAAGGTGGGTTTTATTTGAAACTCGTTGACTGCTAGTCAAAGACACTTCTCCTAACCATTATGTAGATATCAGTTCATTAAGGTTAGTGAATTCCCTTTTACAAGAAGCTATGATCTACATTGGAAATAAAACATAATATTACCTATTTGCAATAACATCTGTTTATTTTTCAGTAAAATAAAATTGAATTTATCAGATTGAAAAAAATGTCTTGAATGGTAATTATACAATATGCTCTAGTTTTTGCTACCGACTAGTAGCTACAACCATTAATTACTTTGAGCATATCCAGCTTGAACATTATCACTGTGTTTGTAGACCGCAAACTCTAAACTAAATATTTTATTATTGCCAAACAAAATCACGGCAAATTAGTGAATGGATACTAGGGTTACACTGCTTTAAACATGCAACACTCATGTGCTGTTCAAATGCGTGCGATACCAGCGCTACGTTGTTGTCACATCCTTAATTGTTTTACTTGTTTGATATTATCCGATTGTTGTTGTGACATTACATTTATTTACTGCTGACACGATCATGTCGCAATTGCGTATATTTGTTTATTACCTTATCTGGATACAAGAATATTATCCGCCCAATCATCCGAATTTGTATACTGGGCGCACTGCATACCGATACAAACACAAGATTGGGATTTAACGGTTGCCAGACAAAAACATCAATCTCGTTACAGTAATACAATCAATGATGTAATAACTGTAATCAAATACAATCAATGATGTAATCACTCCCCGTAATTAATACAATTGCAAAAAGCAAGCATCATATACAATCAAGGCGAATGAATGTGAAGAAGTTACCGCTTTACATGCTGGCGATACATTTTTGCCGACGCCCGTATTGTTTAGCAACTAAACGCACGTGATATCATTGTACCATAACTAAGTAAGGTAACACAGTTCACACAATATTTCCCTGCTTCTTATTCTCAACACTACTCTGTTTTGCGTCTATATCCAGAAACCCATACATACTATTGATAAACATTCTTTGAACTAATCCTACGAAGTACTACATTGAGCACAACTCTTAATGAATACATTAATCCTCATCGTTACAACTGCATATAACCTCACTACAATAACGGGTAAATTTCAGTTTGTCAGCAGAGAAGACATTGTATTATACATTCGTTTGGCATATAGTTTCTCATCTCAACGGCTATTAACCATTTTCCCTCCTTATCTTGTTGTAACAGCATATCTTGTGAATTCCTGCCTGCACCGTTAACAAACCTTTGCTTCATTCACCGTGGCTATGCAAACAGAATGTTAAAGCTACAAGAAGTTTTTAAGCTTCGACGACAAGCACAGTCTTTCGCAACAAGTTGAAAATGTGCGCGCCTGGTTACAGCATAAACGGGGTCCACGTACACATGCGGAGTGTTTCCTCGAGGATATGAAGTTAATACCGGCATTAATGAAAAAATCAAATCAATCAAAGCCTATTAATCGAACTGGAAATTAGTTATTGGATGGTTATCCAGACCAAAGCAGACAAATTGGAGGAAAAAAAATATCCGAAAAGCAAAAGGATAGTTGACAAAACAAAAAGCACGAAAATAGGAAGCAAGCCGAGACCATAGTAGGATAACGTGTCGAGTTTGCGACATCAGAAAAATATACATGTTTGTAATAAGGTACCACTTCTCAAAACAATAACTACTTTGTTCGTTCATTCTTTTTTGCGAGAACATTACTTACGTGATTTTTATGTTGTATTATAGCTATCGGCAAGCCAGTTACAAATATCGAAACAATAAAGGTTTATGACAATACATTCTTTGCGACAAGCAAAACGATAACTAGATTTCGTGCTACAAGATGAATTATTAAACAATGCCAAATGTAACGGACGACGTATGTCTTGAAACATGAACCTCGACGGAAATAGTATTCGAGAGATGTCTCACTCTACGGATGAGAAAGTGGTTATTTCAAACACTGTCGTTAAATCGTCATGAGTGTCCTTCATTAAGTTTCGCGTGAAACAAGGATGCCAATCGGATCATGCATCTCATTATGCTAGGCTTTTAGGCTAAAAGGCCGTTTGTGTGATCTTTCAACAAACCCCGATTGCAAAGAGACCAATCTCGAGTTTGCACGTAATAACAATCGTTGTCGGTAGATGTCATTGGGACGAGATTATGGCAGCGGATTTTATTGCGCAAATGAACATTGGGAATGAGGAGAGAAGAGCAAAATGGACTCGCCGGCTATATTGAACGGGCATTTCCTTATCCAGTTAAAAATGGAAGGTTTGATATGATGATCAACATGCACAAAAGACGAATACTTTGTGAGAGAGCCATTGAACTTGTAATAGTCATCGTCTGCGCATCGGCTCGGGCATATGCGCGCAGAGGTCTAATTTATTGACAAGCGTGGTAAGTACTGACTTATTAATATCAAACCAGGTATTACTCGGAACATGTATAATGACAATTGAAGTACAAATATCCGCAGCTACTGTCGTTTGTCTAATTCGCTTTGATTTGCAAGGGAGGCGTTTATGCGGGGTGTTGTATGGGCATGCGAACGCGTGTAAGTGGGACAGATAAATGAAGATTCGGAGTTGCTTTGTCGAGGCGATTTCGGAAAATGGGTAGAAAAAAGAAATCTAACGAAACGATGAAATCATTTTTGTAGATTGTAACGTAACTGATGCCCGTCAAAATACGGATAGTACGGCAAACCCGATATATGGCTGTGTATGTATTCCCAATAGTGTGTTATCGAACACAGATCGTTTGTTTATTGTAAACAGTAAGCGTAAAAATTTTCATTGAAGACTAATATTGGAATAATACATTTATACAAATAGCCAACAATGATTGTATCGGTACAAACAAATGAGGTGCTTGTATCGGGGATCCATTGCATCGTACAAAAAATGCTTTACTGCTATTCATTTGTTTCGAATCACTTATGAACACGCTCTTCTCCTCGCTCCTCCCTTTCTTCTGCTTTGCTTATAAAAACAGGATGCGAAAAACGTTGAGCGTAATAGGGTAGTTCCCAAGAGATTTACACCCTCCAACTTCTCCGTGTTAAAAAAGCCTCACATGCAGTTTCCTAATCGACGCAAGAATGGATAGTTTCTCGATCGCAACCCCTTACACGTGATTCGGATGACAACACGATTACTTATTTTCCCCTCGCTTGCGCATCATATCCGCTTTATTTAGCAGGTGTGTTGTCATTCGATTGTTCGCCACGTTCGCATCACCCAGATGATCGATCGGATATTGTATTCTGGTATGTTCAAAGGCATCGATCATGACTTTCCCCGAAACTCCGCAGCGTTCGGAAATGTCAAATTGTATGGATATTTTTATCTACAATGGATTTTTGAAAGACTGATTTTATTAGACACGAAGAACAGACGGCATTGCTTAGTTATATATAGATCAGATAATCTCCAGTCCATATCTCAAAAATATGAAAAAGAAACCCTATGATTGAATCTATCTAATAAACAAGAGAAATGTCGTTCTCAATCGCTTATGCTAAAACCGTCACTCTTTACACTAAGACAAACATATGCCGTTTTTATTAGCTCGCTCGGAACTGCTCTTAGCGATTCGCAGTGCTATAGAGTATCGTAATTTGTCCTGCATTTAACAGGATTTAACGATTCATTCATCATCGAATTAGTATCAAAAGAATAAGGTAAATACAATTTTTTGATACTAAAAAACACCCACCCTCCTTGCCAGACACGACAAGGTAACAAACAAACAATAGCAAAGTGAGAGAAAAAAAAAAAGACAAAGAAAAAAGAAAAAGACAATATAAAACAAAAAAAATCACAGACTATTTTCAATAAGCGAGAATCTATTAACAGATCCACGTGAGAAGTATGTACTAAAATATGTACCACAGACATTCGCCGCCTACATGACAGAATACGTCCGAATTAATAAACGGTAGGTGTTCGTCGATCACAAGTCTTGGCAAAAAGATGACAAAAAAAATGTTATCGTATATGTCACTAAGATTTATTTGGGGATGGGAAAAAGTGTGATGAGATCACTGTAGGATTACTCAGCCATTGAAAGAGTGATGGAGGAGAATAGGGATGGCAAAACAGTGATGGCGTAAGGGTAACATGTGATAGAGGGAAAGCTTGTGATGGGGGACAAGAAAGTCGAGAAAGTAAAGAATAAGGAGATCAATGGGTGAAACGAAAGATGTGGGAAAATTACAATGATTGAGATGCATGCAAAAACAAAAATGGTCGGAGGAAAAAAACATCACGAGAACAAACAATAACAAAAGATTGCTTCATTTCATAATCATATGATTATAGGATTACTAACGAGCGAGCAACCTTCTTCCCTCTTGGATACCCCAAACAAGCCTAACGCATTCCAAGGTAAAGAAGCCCTATATAATAACGAATACAATACCATGACTGACAACTGACCTATTGCACATTTTACCATAGGCTATCCGCGAACCCTAAATCTTCTCAGTGGCAGAAAACTTCCCTTGGTATTGCATTTGACCACTTTTATCGGACTTGTCGTCTTTGTCGGATCTCTTCATGCCGTCGACAATCATCATGCCGCGCCCCTTTTTCGCCTGTTTGCCTCTAACTGGTTGATATTTATAATTTGGGTATTTAATTGCGTGTTGCATTTTTACGATCTCGTATAGAGCATGCCAGAAGTTTTTTTCCTCCTGAGGGAGGTTTCTCCAACTTTCTGCAGCAATCCGAGACGACTCGGCGACAGACAATGCGTTTCCCTCTCGAGTGAAACGTGCTCTTATATCCTTGCGATATAGCATGAAACAATTCTGGGGACGTGGGACACCTTTCGACCGTTTCTTTTCTGCGGGATCCAAGAGTTCTTTTAATGGTAAAGTCGTGTGGATGTTCGGATATACTCGTCTGACTTCTTCTATCACTTCTTCAACCACCTGACTAAATCGTAAACAGTCTGAAGTTGATAGGGAGTCGGATGATTGGTTGCTCGTATCTGGTCGGATTTCGACGTGTTCTGGCATAGTGGAAGTGGACATTATGTAGATTTCTAAGATAACATATGAGAGACAGCTGGTTAGTTTAACCTTACGTCGAATTAAGCTAAGACAATAAGTTTACGATAGTTGTTGAAAGGAGCAATCAGGCTCGGATAGGGTGTTGGGGGTGGGGGTGGGAGTGAGGTAGTTTGGGGTGGTGTCAGAAGAAAATAAACAGAAACATAATATTGTGTCTTCCGTCATACACACCTTTTGGTATAGAGTCGGGGGGTTGGAGAGTAGATAATATTTTTTTTTTGTCGTTATATATGATTCTGAGCTCTGGGTAAAGAAGGCGTCTCACTGTAAACACAACAAAGAGGGGGTGGGGACGATAAGTAAATTGGAAAGGGGGTGTGTCAATATTCCGTTAACCTTATTATACAGCCTTTCACTAGTGCTTTTCTCATAAATTGATAACAAGTCGACAATGGAACAATAGCCCGCGAACAAAACGACAACAGACTGTAAACAACCTGACTCCTTACTTACCTTTCGCATTATATGCTAATAAAAGCGGTGAGAAGAGTTTTGTTCTCAGCGCTGCCTTTTTGTATACGGGGTAACACAGGAGAGTGATGATGTGGTAAGAAAAAATTGCACAAAGAACAAATCTGTTTGTGGCAATTGTTGCATTGATGCCATATTTGAACCATATTGTTTACCATAAGTTGATTCTTTGTGGATAAAGTTCACCAACTTTTTCTTGGGATGAATGGCATTACGGCCGTGACAGTTTAGGTGCGACGACCAATTTGGAAACCTGTTAAAATCCTATTGGCGGAGATGGGGTGTGATTGGAAAGCATCATTATATTGCGGCGACCACCGATGAGACAGATAATGCTCGCCACCTGGATAAGAAGTTGAATAACCAAAATGACCAAGAACGATGCGAAAGGAGTAGTCCAAGGTGTGATTTTTTTTTCTCTTTCCCTTTTTGTGAGTGGGGAGCTGACTCTGAGAAAATGAGGTACTTTTTATTGTGGGGTAGCGTGGTCAGGCTGTTTATACTGACTCGTCTGTCTATGATATTTCGTTTCCCTGGTGTAGGGGCAAAGCAGTTTTATGAAAGCATATTCGACTGTCACAGAGAAAACATTGAAAGTGAAATACGAAAGTTTGTTAAAGAGTTTGAGGTAAACGAAAAAGAGGGTGTAGTATGGGTTGGGGTGTGTGAGTAGGGTGTGAGTAGGGTGTGTGAGTAGGTGTGAGTAGGGTGTGAGTAGGGTGTGAGTGGGGGTGTGAGTGGGGTGTGAGTAGGGTGTGAGTGGGGACGAAAAGGTAGCATGCATGTGATGATGCGTAGTATATGCATACAAACAATCTCTCATCATATCAGTATACTTGGGACTTTGTTATCCATTTTTCCAAGCTCTTGTGATTGTTCCCATTCTGAAATCTGTCTACATCTTCCCCTGCATTATCTACAATAAAGACACAGAGAAATGGACGGGATTGGGATAATCTTAACCGATGTGCAACACTTATTCAAGATGCACCTGACAGCTTTTCTGCCGGTATCTCTGCAGCAAACAGGAATATGTACGGCATGCTTGAAAAGCGTATGTTACCTTCATTATATCCTTATCACACCTGCATTATATCCCATTTCATCCATATAAAGCTTCATTACTCCTATCTTATCCTATTCTGTGTGATGATGGCTTTCGCTCTCATCCAAACATTGACCAACGTTTGTTCTTCTTTGTTCACAGTGCATGTCGCAAGACCTATCTTTGAATCACTCTTAACTGAAGTGACTTATCTAAAACAAGTAATGTCACGTCTTGTATTATCACATTCATCAGCATCTGCTAACCGCATATATTAGACAATATTTTTTTCTCATCCATTATCCCTGCAGTATTAAATCTATTGTATATTTGTGATATAACCCGTACCCCAACAAACAGCTGACAAACACGGCAGAGCCACTAGAGGAAGATCGTAGCAATGTCCTACGTGAAATCAATGCAGCACGTTTAAGACTTGATGCTGAGGATCTGATAAAGAACGGTGTAACAAAGACCGAGGATGCTGCGGATGAGGAAATCGACGAAGCTTGAACGAAGATATAATTTATGGATAGTAATTCGATAAATGCTTGCTTATTCTATACTGTCGCTTATATAACCTAATATAACGCTATCTTTGTCTCTTTCTTCACTTTTATCTTTTCGAGTAATAAACTGTTTGCAAACAGTAGCATCAATTCTTTGCACCCATCGTCGAATACACTTCTTTCCTTCACGTCCTTCCATGTAGCATCTATTATGATGTACTTCAGCCTCGATAAATCGAGAGATTCTAAACAAATGTATATAGATGATGGGGAAAGAGACAAAAGAGGTGTAAATGACAAACTTGTTAACGAAATTAATGAACTCTTCTCGTTAGTGCTACTACACCCATCACTTACTTGAATCGTTTACCATTTTCAAGATGCGTTCTGGCGTAGTAACTGCGATATTGATAAAGTTCAGTTCCAAGAACTTTTCCTGATCCTTGAATTTAAAATGTTTCCCAAATAGTTTTGCTATTTTTATGTTTGATGACTTGTACTCTATCATTGCTCTGAAAGAGTGATATCAAGTTCATAAGCCAAACGGTTAATCTAATGTGAATCAGTCGAAATAAATGATAAGTTATTGCATCTCCCCTCCGCAACCCACGATCACATATGTATACTTTTACACCTTCTCAACTTGACAGATCTCGCCGCTGAAATCGCAATAATTATTATCAATGGGGACCCATTCCCTGTTTCGCTTGGTCGCTCTTTTAGTTTCAGCTCGGGATCAACTTTATATAGACAAATATAATGGTCATCAAAGTCAAAGATATCTACGCCAGAACGACAACAAAAGTAACGTACCAAAGTTTATAAAGCTTGTTAGATTCCCAAGCGACCTTTCTAGTGCAAACCCTTCGGAATCAACAAACGCATCGACTGTATAAAAGACATGGTATTGGCCCTAACGATCAATCATATGTCTGTACGGATGCCAAGATGCTATCACTCCATCAAATGTTGATGATATATTTAATATTCATATACCTGGCAATTGTAGCTCTTCCAATTCAAGATTGGACAAATGCGGCAGGACTTTCTGCCTGACGGTGTGAAATGTTTCCGATTGACTAGACGAGTCATATGCTAAACGTTTCTCTTCTATAACACGTCTCTTCTTCTTTTTTTTCTTCTGCTTGCATTCATATGGGTTAATTGATCAATCTTGCAATTATATGAATCAACACTCAGTAATAGGCATCTGCTTACTTTCTTTTTGATTGGTGAATTAGGAATACTTGGAGATGTTACATAATCATCTTCTATAGTTGTCTTTATCTTTTCCTTTTTTCTTTTTTTATTGATTATACTTGTTTCATCGGGTGGTGACACCACCGGTGCATCCAACAAGTGTGAGAAATCATCTTCGAATGCATCAGCTGAACCAGTTTGCTGCATTGCTCAAAAACGTATTGAGATGAATGAACAACTGATTGATTGATAGCTGTACGATGCAAACAGGTCAAACAAGCATAGCCACAAACGGGATTTTTTGGGGTGTCACCACTATTGTTTACGCCACAAAGCGTCATGGTACCCCATTTTATTTCATTAATGTGGAATAATACTAAACCATAAGCTTATTACTAATCACAATTAGTTTACTCGCCTTTCGACAGCCCGTTGTGATATATCGGAGTTTTCGGTAATGTGATATTTCGGAGTTTTCTGGCCTTTTTGTTCATGTTTCACAAAGTAGCTTTGGGCAGTATGGGTTTTGGATACCCATTGTTAGCTACGTAACATTGAATAACTAAAATGAGTTGTCCAGATTAGTATGAACAATAGATGTATTAATAATGTATTATGATTAACAATAAAGGTCTTTGGTTCCATATTCAATATTGATGTTAAAGGAAACTATCAAGGGAAAGGACATGTAAATATTAATTAAATGTCTCATTGGTTGAATAAAATGGTCTGATTTTGATCTCTATCATTCTCATGTTAAAGCACTCATTCTCTTAAAGGTAAGATATCAGCAAAAGGATATCCAGTATTAAGATTCACATTATAGTTCAGACAAGATTTGTTGATATGAACATACGAGACTTGTGCCCACACCCACCAGCGCAGTGTAGTTGCTGATCGATTCACACGTTGATGGCATCAAGGGTGAAGAAAATTAACGAATTAGGGTGCAGTTTAAAAAAATAGACGCGTTCTTTAGGATCAATAACTCACACCCATTCCCGTTATCGGCGCAAGAACTTTAATCGAATCCATCAAGATTGCGAAATGGAATCAACCTGGGATGTATACATATAGATTGTCTTTGTGTAGGTTTGATAATATTCTTTAATTGGCGAAGTCGATTGTTGTCCTGTTTACGAGACATCTACTAAGTTACCGCATCCTTGTCCATCGATCAACCATTGTTAAGTTCGAAGACGCTAGCGGGTCCAATAAGTTTCACGTTGGAACCGGTTACATTTTACGGATGTGTAATCAGCTCAGTCACATTGATTCGAATAATATGACATTCATATTATACGAATCAGATATCTTTGTTCATCGCGATGCCCGCCCCCTCTGTAACCAGTCAAATACGTATACCTAAGCTTCTAAAGAGAGCAGGGTATGTCGGGTAATGTCTTTTATGACTATGACGATTTCCAAATACAATTATACTATGCTTTTTAATTCAATCATTCGTAGCAGTCTCCATGAATGCGCGTTGACATTAAAATATGTGCGGTCGCGCGGATGAATTATCCTATTTATTATTGAGGTAGGCAGGCAAATCGCGTGGAATGCAGGGATCGAGGCCGCTGGTTTTTCCAACCTGTAACATTGTAGGAGATAATCGATCATATTAATATAAGCTTTATATGCCGCATATGACCATACTTTGTTAACTATTCCGTTTTATCATTAACCGAGCTTAGTTATTCTCCGGAATCACATCCATGCAAGGTTTTGAGAAGGAAGAAATAGGGGATCTTTTATTCGCTGTCAAGGTTCTAACCGCTCTTCTTGGAGAAAAAGAACCCTTTCCTGAACGAGCAGAACAAAGAAAAATCTCTTGGGCCAAAGGAACCCTCCTGGCTTCGGGTGACGCGACGTATGAACAGAAAGAAAATAACGAGGAAAAGCGAATATGATTGATATTCATCCTTATCATTTAACATTTATTGAAAGCGAACAGAAAATTGAGCCAACCAAGCTGGATTGGCCAGCATGATTGTTTGGGTTGGTATTGGTTTCGTCCATAGTCATTGAGGAAACTGATTATGGTTCCCTTTTGACGTTAAATTCTTTTGACAATCACAGATCAGAGATTATAGTCTGCGAGGTACGAATTGCGGAACGGGGTGGCCGGATGGTGAGTGAAGACATTTTAGAAGGAGGAAAATGAGAACAGGACGTTACTTGGAATAAGCTTGGTGCTGGATCAAAAGGTAGATTTTTCTTCTGATATATTCTTGTCTCGAATCGTTAAGTATCTTCGTCTACGGATTAGAGAGATAATCATAGTGGAAGGAGAAAAGATCTAATTTCTAAGTGTAAGGCATAACAAACTCCGCTTGTAAAGACTTATTCCTTGATCTGATAATTTTAATATTCCTCTTTGTTTTTGATACTGCTCCTTACAGAGAAGATTTCCGTATTGAAAAGTAGTGTGACATCACAGAGGCTTTTCCAATCCCTGGTTGCCTTCCAGCGCATATTTCGAATCATTGGCATTTCATACCATGCCCGTCATGATAAAAGATTATACAATACAAGAGTAAAAACGGTCGGCTTATAATTGTGTAAAAACTATGGGATCATACTCCAAAGGTAGGTTCCGGTTATATAGGTAAAGTTCTGATATGGGTGTACGACAGGAAGCAGGGGGTGATGACCACTGGTTCACCAATAACGTAGACTATAGATTGGACAAGATGCGTATAGGTTGATTTCTATCGTGTACTGTTGATGGTGCGAATATATGATAGATAAGGCAATATATAGCATATTGCGATGACTGCAAGAAACAATTTAATATTTTTGGTGCATCTGCTGCGATGATCAACACAGCTGGGTATGGGATGGCGTTACTGACATCTATAATAAAGATGTATCATCTTGAGAATTTGAACACAATGACACAACATCATTGAATGGGCGTGGGCAAAAACTGGTTGGGAAACGAATTGCGACGTTGATTTAACTATAATTCACGTGATAGTAAATAGCTGACAGCCCGTACTTTATATAGGCCAGACAAATTCGAACAATGGTATGTTTTGTTGCAATGTACCATATTTCAGGAGTAGTTTGGAAAATTTTTTCCGCAACGAGATCACAAACAGTAGATCCCCCCCCTTTTTGATCCTAGAATGTCTTTATTTCGTTATTTGGTTGGACTATGTGACGGGCTACAAATAATAAATTTGTCAAAGGTTCAACATCTTTCGGTATAATAAGCGGCAAATTACGCGCTTACTAATGCATGAGGAGTGCATGCCTATCTGATTCGTTGACAGGCCAACCTTATATTCCGTCGCCAGCTTCTGATCCATAACAATGGAGTGGTAAGACGGGAATATTAATTGAAAGAAGGAAAAACACAAATTTGTGTTTTATCTGATAAATTTTGTCTTCATTACGAAGTGGCGTTACCACTAACACCTTCTAGACTCTTGATATAGAAAAGAATCATCGAGATAGTTATTAATATGTAAGTTTAAATACAATCGCAATTCAATGTACAGCACCCAAACAAATATATCGTATACAATTCTGTTATGAATCACATTAATATAGAAGAATCATAATTATAGACAATTCTAATACATAACAGATAATCATGCCAAGTCTTTGACTCTCTGACTCCTCATCTCCAAAAATAAGAAGTTGATTACTACAGTCAAGTATAAATAACCATATCAAATACTAGCAAATAATGTATATAAAAATAATGAAATGTATCAGAACATGTGGGATAATTGAATAGAATATGACCGACACCATGACCCAACCACTCAAAACTTCATGCCCTAACCACCCATTCATTAGGTATCACCAGTCAAAAAAACGATTAATAATAGCGTAAATAATACAGTGTAAAATTATAATGAATTTAACTCGGGTTCGGTTGATGAATAGTCACTCCGGCAGCCTGCGCAGCTGATTGTTCCTTTTTTCTGATTTCATCAAAGTATGGATGTTGTAGAGCCGCTTCGGCTCCAATGCGCTTTTCTGGCTGATATTCTATTAGATGCTGATTAACATCAATGATCACAACATTATTTTATAATTAGAAAGTTTTGTGAGCCAATGCAGACACAACATAAAAATAAAATAACAGAAATAAATAAATAAATAAACTATAAGCATACACTCAGTAAATCAATCCCGAGAGCGTCCAGCTTTGGTATGAACCGTTCGAGCGGCATCCGCGGATAAATCTCAAAATCCGGCTAAAGTTCAAATTGGAACATAAATTAATACCAATAATTCAATATGTAACAAGCAGTGTGTGACACAGAAAACTTGTACTTCTTTCATCCTACATACTTTGTATTCTGGTAACTGCGATACTCTTGGCCATGTTTCTTCTGTTGGCGTCCCTAAAACTGTGCTATCCAGAAAAAGATAGAGTTATGGATATCTAAAGGAAATTCTACGTCTTTAATGATAGATAGTCTGATGTATAACAGCAAATGCATTTATGATAACATAATGCAGCGCTCGCTGATTGTATATAGATTCATAAAACAAGGATATTTAAATATTCGAACCAATTGGTCTTTGATCGAACTTCCCGGGAATAACGGCCTACCGGATGCCATTTCTGTTCGTGGATTTAATAAGAAAATGAACAGTACGTATAAATGAACAATGTGCCCGTATTTCACGCTCACAACGTAAATAAGTTCCAAAAGCCCCAATCATCATTTTCAAAACACGACTTTTCTTACCGGCAAATATACATCCAGCTGACCAGACATCGATCGAGGTTGAATACTGTCGCGATCCCATTAGCACATCTGGGGCACGATACCATAAAGTCACAACCTAAGTATGGTGTCATGATGATTATTGTGAGCGGTAAAAAAACTTTAGTAAGAAATTTTCACGGATGGAGGAAGTACGTAGACCAGAATGGCTGTATCAAGATTTACCTCATGTGAATAGCTACGGACAGGAATACCAAATGCGCGAGCGAGACCGAAGTCTGCTAGTTTGAGTTCTGTTTTCTTTAATTATATTATGAAGAACGTATAAATATGAGGAACAAAAGGAAAACCGGGTGGTTTATTATGCATACCTTGTTAATCAGTAAATTCTGCGGTTTTAAATCCTAAAATTCGCAAGTTAGCGACCAATTAGTTAATTATACAATAAATTCGCCTCAACGGAGCGCTTACAATACAGAGATTGTTGTTCGATAATCTACATTCTCATATCAAATAATCACTAAAGTACCTACCCGATGCAAAACTCGGTGTTCGTGACAAAATGCGATCCCCTTGAGTAGCTGATACATTAAGTGCTAATTGATGGTAAACACAATAAATATGACGTTAGATCAAGATTTCAAATTACGTTATATTTCTCGACCTTTGAACGATGAAGCCAACTCTTTAAGAAAATGATTATAGATTATAGATTGTAAATAGGCATGTCATTGAATATACCTTGATTGTTTGAGGATCAAGATCTCCACCGTAAGAGTCAAGATACTTCTTAAGATCCGAGTCAAGATACTCGAATACTAACGTTAATTTTTTTTCAGTATGAAGGACGTCATGTAGCCTATACAGATTCAGAATTAAAGTCAAAAAATCCATTTAAACAACATTCATTTTTGCAAGTCAATAATACTGAGTGGAATGTCAACATGCTAAAGTTTCGTTACCTTACAATATTCGGATGTTTTAACTCTTTCAACAATGATATTTCACGAATAGCAGTACATGGAACCTAAATCAATGACAGTATAACAAATGATCGTTTAATTGGAACTTGTGCAAACGTACGAGAAGCATACGTAACTATGTATATTCCAATACATTCCCTATCCAAACGTACCCCTTCCTCTTCATTATCGAGCCTTATCCGCTTAAGAGCTACAATTTCATTAGTGTCTCTGTTTTGTGCTTTGTAAACTATGCCATATGTCCCTGTGAATTGAAATGGATGGTCAAAATAACATCTCATTAGGACAAATCATAACGCCGAAAGTGATGTTAAATTTTTATAGCAAAGTAGTTAAATTGAGAAGCGGTGTCTTGAAATCGGATGTGTTGAGCAGTGAGTAATGACTGAATAAGGTCTTTACCTTCTCCTAACTTTTCGATTTTCTAAGATAAGAAATAATACAAGTTGCTGGCATTCATTAATCAGACTTTCACACACATGATCAGTATGCTTACTCATGCCTATGACTCACCTGATATTTGTCCATTATCTGACTATGCAAATGTTCCTGATATCTTTTTCCTATCGTATCCTTATCACCGCCAACGCTATTTTCCTTGTATCTCGTATCAAGCGTGTTAGCTTTTCAGCTCTATCAAGCAATTTGTCAATGTTTCTCGTCCTTATACACTTTATTATATGATACCCTTGTTCTTAGACTGATATTGTGCACGCACACTATTATTGTCTTAAATCGTAAACAGATAACGAGCAAGAGAATAATGTGTCTAATTTGACAAGGTCAAAAAGATCATTGAACGTCATCAAATTTCAGGGTTCAACTAGATTCTATTGGTCAATCCAATATTGACAATGACAATCATTATTATTATTATTGATGTGTGATCATTCGTTACAAATCCAATTCCTGGGTTACACTATGTCAACCAAGATCAAACGTGGTCATGATACCACCTTTTCAAATATTCTCGTTACCTGGTTCCACAGCCTTAATTGGGGCATCCTGCAACAATTGAATGCCACAAACTTTCCCGTTAATATGATATCTTCATTGACAATTGTCGACAGCAGTAACATAAATAGTAACAGAGAAACTCTCTAAACTAAATTAAAAAAAAGATATTTTGGCACTTAGCCAGGTATGGCGAAGAGATTCCCATTTTAAGCCACGCACTTCAGGAGGTTCAAAGACGTTGAATAGCACAATTGTATTACAGTCCTCACTTGGAGCATGCTGCAACAAAACCAGACAAAGTGAACATTGACTGAGTCAGTTAAAAATGAATAAACACATTAACATCAGGTAATGATTTGGAAGGCTTTGTTTGTGTGTCACAGCTGTGAACCAATTTTCTCTGTTACATTTTAAACTTGTATTAAGACAAGTGTAATCAATGATTAAGATAAAACTGAAGTTATTATAACATGGTTAAATTCATGTAAGATTATTTCTACCTATAAAATATAAATATAAAACAAAATTATATTTATATTAATATTAAAACCATAGTTACAATAATAGTAGAAGTTATTCTGTCAAAAACTATGTTATATTAATATTAAACTTATACTTGAAAAAAGTTTTGTCAATATTATATGGTTATTGAATTACCATTATAATAATGACTTGCTCTCTTTGCGTAGAACCACATTTAGGAATCCGCCCCAATAGTAAAGAGCACATTAAAGGCATGTATTTCAGCAAACAAAACAAATATTGCTAGTTCTTAAAGAAATTGTCATCCCTCATTTATACCCCCCTCGTTGTAACTCACACTCTGATATATTTCAGCAAAGGGGCTGGGCGGATTTTCTCTATTATATCTCAGTATAAATTTCCCTCACGAGCCCGAAGTTTCCCACATTCTATAGAAATATAATGATCATACTTTAGTTATAAATGCCTACTATATAGGTTGATCGTGTTACATAAATATCATGCTAGCCGCGAAGCAGATCTTTGCAATCCCATTGGTAAATTTGTACTCCGGCCAATAAACTGTAAATGTCGGATCACGTTCTGCTCCACCTATCTTTAGTCAACAGTGGCACGTTTATGTTCAATTTCAATCTATTGCGAGTAGTAACAAACCATCATTAACATGCACTTTTCTATCAGGACGTCACTTTTTTTGTTTTAAGAAAGATGTCTCGAATTTCAATATAAGAGAGCGTGTTTCTGCTTAACGTTTGTGAAATTTAGTTACTAAATCATTAACTAAAGTTTGTTAGTAATATCATTCATAAGTGATAAATTTAAATCCTCCGCATTATAATATGGCTAGCTCCGCAACTCGATAGGCAAAGAAAATTTGGCTAATGGGTTTGGTAGTAGTCGATAGAAAGTTGAAGGGTCAAACTTTATTACTAATGTACTTTACTAACTAGTCAAATTTCTATCAAACTAAAACGCATATATTATTTAAAACATATACTGCGTTTAGTTATATTTCACATCAGATATATCGTCAAAAAGCCCCCCCCCCCCCCCGAAGTGGGGATATAAACGAGGGACGACTGACGGTGAAAAAGATAGACAGAATTCACTGTCCTGTGATTACTGATTTCTATTACTACACCAACCGGAAAACTTGTGGACCAAGATTCTCCTTATTTTCTTGTTCATATAATTGCAACGGAATGAGTTTTGTCAATGAAATATAAGAGACCACTTCTGAACAAGTAAAATTAACTAAAAAAGCTTTTCAACCCACAACAGATTACGTTACACGTTATCGAAATTTGTTGATTAAGAATATATTTTCCCTTTTTATTTTTTAGTTTGTAATTACTTGGTTCTTTTACTCTTATTTATAATTACAAGAGCAATTTTGACTCTGATTGCAATTGTGTCAAAATAGCAACTTACGAGTCAAATACACTCAAGAAGTCTTCTTATAGAAACAAGCTAGAGGACTAATTCGTGGAAGATTTGATGAAAACTTTATGTCAAATACGATATTTTCTATTTCTTTTGCTTTATCGTGTGTTGTTGGTGTTAATACTCTTATTTGTCGTTTTCTCGGCAAATCTATGAGTAATTTCCTCGCACTCAGATATTCCTGGTATTATCTATTTTACGAACAATTTCTCACTCTTGTTCTGTATAAAATACTTCTAATAATTCTGTTTTCTATTGTAAACTTTATTTCATATATCTGAGGGGAAAATGCTGTGTAACAAATCTGACTACAGTTTATAAACACTTCGTGCGCATGCTAAAACAACATAAGCAAACTGTTTCTGTGAACCAAATTTGTAAACGCTGCACTCACCTCTTTCCTAAGATTATTTGATTAATAAATGATTGCTTGTATTCGTATTTTTAATAATTCAATGAGTTGACTGCTACCCGATGAAGTACAAGCGCTAATTTACCTAGAAAAAACATTAGATTCTGACAGGCGTTCTATAACAGAGACAAGTAGACATTCATGTAAGTAATTTCCATAAGGATAATAAGAGAAGTACTTGTGACAGCTAAGAAACTCAAAGAGAATTTGCGACAGAACATACATGCGCAACATAATTCGGCGTTTAGATGATCAGTAGAAAGGTCGTGTCACTGACAGAATTTATTAATTAAGTAATAAACTATACAATATTGAAATGTTATACCTTAATTACATCCCGATTCCAAAAAGCTTGGGTCCCCTTAATTGTTAGAAACACAATACAAATTTAAGAAAGATTTCCGCCAGTAAATTTGTCAATGTCTGTAGATTGAAATGATCGTCAGGAGTCATTATTATTTATGTCATTGGTCAACTTCTTTGTATTTACGGTTAGTAAGCTAACGTCATATTTATAATTATGGCAAGGATGAGGACTCCCCGAAGGCTAATTTCTCACATGTGTGATAATAATTAATGACATCGTTAATGACCCGGCAACTTATATTAGCGGTACAAACAAGCAAAATTGGTTAGACAATTGCGAATTCCATAACTATAAAACTTTATGCACGTATTAGTATTTTTTTACGATCCACGTTAATATGTGACTCGGGAACCAGCGCTAGCCCCAACGTTTGTGTCAGGTCTTAATCAGTGCTCTTAATATTTTAATTAAAGCATATAAAGGTGACAATGCTCATTATTTTTATATAAATATCTCACACGATTATATTATGCAACACATTAATATACAGTATAACCCAGTCTGTGCGAACATCCTTCTACAGATTTATGCAATTAGGAATAGTAAATTTAAAATAGAATATTAACATTTAAGTACCGTGTATTGCTTTTAAACCACTTTGTATGTTTACTTCCACCATTTACTATAAATAAATTTAGCAACACAATAGAGGTTTTGCTTCCCATCAGAACAATCGTAACTATTGTAATAACTTGTTCCAATTAACGTAAGTCGCTAAATTTATCAAATAAAAAATTATTACATATGCAAACGAGAGAAACAAAATTTTAACAACTGCTTCGAGAAATATACGTCACATGGGAGCATAAATCGACTATTTTTATGCAAACCGGTAGACGATTAAGCGTTCAACTATTCAATTTTTCAATAGCAAAGTTTCATAGCTCCAACCGTCATAATCACACTTTATAGTCATCATTACTTAATGATAGTTTGATCGCGAGTTTCACGAACAATGTTTGGCAAGTAAGACATTACGATGCAAAAGCGTTTTATACATAATAATAAATAACGTTCAAAGTTGTCTGAGGAGCGCAAGCTGCTTATTTTAGCATCTCTAATCACGAAAGCAAAAGTTAAACAAAGCTAATTTTAGACTAAAACTGACAAACGCTGATGATACAAGAACAAACTTACTTTAAGCTTATATTCTTATCACATTCAAATGTATCAACAGAATATGGAATTCGCTAGCGTTTGAAAAATTTACAATAGTTATCATATCCAGATTTACTATTTTCCGGAAATAAAAAGCTTTAATTTTTGGGCCCAGTGCACCATAAGCACCCGACCTAGTCTTATTTGTTCTCTTCCTGAATGCGGAAAGTGCTGCGTACCTCAATTTTCGTCATGGAAAATGCATCTATTGTAAATTGCACGACAACCGATCACTTTTAAGATTAAATCAGACAATGTATGAACAGTATTAACTCTACAAAATGACGTTCCTGTACCAAATTTTGAATTGGATAGATAGCTATACTCCATTTGTCTTACTTATACATATTCTCCTTTCTCACCGTGGTGCAAGTGATCGATCAAGTCTCATGCTCAACAACTGCCAATGGAATCTCAAGATGCCATTTTAAGGAAACTTTGCACCATCTAAAGTAGCGCCGCATAATTCTATTATTTTTACATTTTTTAAAAAAAATACTTAAATATAAATATATGTATATCTAACGAGTTCTGCAATATTTGTGTGACTGTGTACTCTCAATCATGTGTGTATACTTAATATACAATGTCTGTACATGAGGTAAAAAAGAGAAATTGCGGCGAACAACAAGTCAGTTATTTGAAATATCCTCTTCTTTAAAGAATAAAAGTTCTTATCAGCCTTGTAACGACATTATTGTTTCTAGTAATATTAGTGTTATTATAACTGAAGACAAAGAAAAAAAGTTGCAGCCCAAAAAAGAGAAGTACACAAAAAAACAAGAAAAAAAGATGCAGCATAGAAAGAATCGTATGACATTCTATGTATGATTATAATAAATGTGATTCGTCATAATACTTTCCCCTTCCAAAATTCGACATTTTGTATTCCGTTACCTAACATTCGCATTCCGAAAATGGTTTGTCATAAATAATGAACTTATCCTCAATTGAGCGTAGATCATGTATAAAAAAATATCACGAAATTTTTTATCCGTAAAACTTTAACTTCGCCACAACGCTCCTTTTATTTATGTATATGCATTATCCCATTAGATGACAAAAAACTTTCGTTCCGTTTTAAAATTGCATTGTATATGCGCTCTAATTTGGTCATGTTTGTAATCAATGGAACGCATAATTATATTATTATTATTATTATTAACTAATACTTTAATTATTATTTGTCATATTGTTTCTAAGTCTACTGTATTGTCCTAGAATGTAGCACGATTTACTCCATTTAAATTTCACTAATCAACATTAGACTAAGATCTGCGATATACTGTGATTACAAATAACATTTTCTCGTTTTTATAGAGTATATGTACATATTATAGCACCAAATAACTAACAAATGATCGTAACGCCAATGTTGTTGTTTTAACATTAAATATTATTACTAAGAATAAGAGTAAATAAAGCAAACCAGGTCAAGCCATTCCTAAACCGTCTTAGCGCACTGTTAAAAAAATTATATATACGTAGCAAGAACCGTTGGCTGCATGCTCTCTCAAAATAATGGATAGAAAACATTACCATTTATCGTCACTGGTATTGCACCGCGCACGCAAGCTGTCACAAGACGCAACTAGTAAGTATTAGAACAATGCGTTGATAAGATTGATGAAAAAATTTTTTTTGGAGTGAAGGGTAATATTTAGAAAAATTCGTATAACTTCAACGCAAATATTTACGCACTAGAAATGCTTGTATAAGCATTCGTAAGTTTACATTGCAGAAACTTTTATGTAATATATACATATATTACACACTGTCAAATTAACTAATATAACGTATATTTTTTATACACATAATCAATAATATTGCATGCATTTGCTTTATATAAATACTCAAGATAATGACAGGCCGACAACGTTTGGCGCATGCGACTGAGCGTTGCCTATCACCACTGCCTACAACAAAACGCATTTGTCTATATAGCCGACTGAACGAAAAACCAAGGCTGAAATACGAGTCGTCTTTCAAAGTGGGCAACACAATGAACATAATGACCACTTCTCCAACCCCACTCCTCAAACTGTCTATGGAGACAATTTATTGTATATTTGATTATTTGACAAGCACCGAACAATTGGAATTTGCATTATCATGTTCATGTATATACCGCGCGTTTAGAATTTATTATTTGGGTTTTTACTCACTAAAGTGGGAAGAAGTTCAATGGACAACCAATTTAAATAAAGAGAATGGTCAGACTATTACAAGACCTGCAACCACGAAAATTACGACTCACCAACAACATTACACTCCGGGCTACACTCCGCCACAGCCACCTCTTTCCCCTCCGCCACAAATTTACCGCACAACAGTTTTTCTAGCTAACAAGCTCTATCTCCCATTTTTGTCTCCGGATTTGCCATATTGTTACGTTCTATGTCTTTCCGATTCAACCTTACGGTGGATTCCGTACCCGCTTTCTATACATCCAGCCTCCAGCTTGCTCTATACACCACTTTTAAATACTGCTGCAACAGTTGCAAACAAGAAGATATACTTGTTTGGTGGGGAAACTTATTGCGGTAATGTCAGCAACATATTATATGAAATAGACGTCGAAAAGATGGAGATTAAAGTTGTTGAAGCGGAAGGAGTAATTCCGGGCGAAAGGTGTATGCACACTATCCAAACGGTAGCTGAGAATTGGCTGGCAGTTTTTGGGGGTAGACGTATAGCATATGATAGTAATGAGTATGATGGTAAGTATATAAGCGCAAGCACGTCGAATGTAACACAAAATGCCCAAAAGCCGGCGCGGTTGAAAGAAAAACAAGATTATTGCAAACTCAGTTCCTTGGGATATAGTTACAACAGTGATTAGTAGGATTACATTTAGCTTACGTATATTTTACTATTCCGCGTGTATGTCAAGTTTATGTTCCCAGCCTTTTGATATTTTTCTAATGCAATACTGCACTTGTTTGCCAATTTTAGAACCGATATATTACGACGCGGGAGATCTTTATCTATTCTATATCCCATACTCTACATGGATTTCACCTACGACATTATGTTCAACACCATATCCACGATCGTATCACACGTTCGTTGCCATCGATTCGGCATTATACGTATACGGCGGACAGCAAATAGCATTTACGACTGGATGTAAACGGTATGTTCTGTAAGATGGCGCATAACAGAGTAAAAAAGAGGGAAAGACGTATTATATGAGTTAGCAGTCGGTCAAAACTAGTAGAATGCGCGTAATACTAATTTTTGTTATTTCTGATTACAATTATAAGAGAAGACGATCAAATAGAATTAAATGCATCTTTTAACAAGTTTAACGGCGCTGCCTGCGAAAGTAGTAGAAGATACTTTAAAAACAGCGTTCACGATGATGAGGATTTATGGTGCCTTCAAATCAGTAATTTCCTGCCAGCTTTATCCTCACCATCTTTCTCTATTTTACATTCAGACATCATAAATGATGCAACCACGGCAAGTATAAATTAAAAATTTTTTTTTGCTTCAAACAACTTCTCATTCTCCTAATGCTTGTTACTCATTCGTCTATCCCTTTAGTCTCTTTTTTGGGAAAAACACATATCACCGCGTGCAAATGACTTCTTTTTCACACACATCGGAAAGCGACAAGAATGGATTATGACGAGAGGAAAATCCGTAGGAAGACATTGTGGCGCGGCAATGGTGGGAATGAAAACGAGATTAATTTTCCTTGGTGGATGGAATAAAAATCGATGGAATTTTGAGGAGAATACGTATAATGTCAGAAAAAAAAGGCTCGATAGTTCTATAAGCGGGTCAGAGATTAACAACAATAGCTTGGAAAATACTGGATTACTCAACTATGCCGATAATACCACAATGTCCGACAGCATGCCGTCAGTTGAATTATCTCACCAAGCAATACAACATTCCCGGACGAATCAATTCCTGTATTTAACACAGCATCAGTCGCAGTTCCAATACATGCCTTTATTCAATGACTGCCCGCCAATTCTCAAAACGTCTTCACAAAAAGGTACATATAACACACCCAAACCTTGGGAACTTCTCAGAATTTACCTATTGAAGAGGAATTATTGGGTACATTTGCGTGTCAAGGGCTTGCCCGAGATGGAATGTGTGGCGTTTCTATCTAACAATGCCTTCCAGTCAAATAATTTGTTCGTTGTAGGCCGAACAAGGGATGCGAGCAACCGTATTACTATGGGATGGATTAAAGATGAATGATTCAAGTAAATTACTCAAAATAAATCGATGATGGCCAAAGTTGGAATTTTCATAATTATAGCGATTTACCTCCAATTTGTTCACTATAATCGACAGTCATCGGATTTTTTAAAGTTTACGCGCTCGCGATTCTCAAGCCGTATTACTAGTCTTTTACTGCTAACATCGTGCTAATACTATTCTGACATTATTAGTCCTCATCCGAGCCTCCACTAATAAACAGGCCGTCTGACAATAAGTTAAACTTTCTGCACTATACATACTGACGTATATTCCGACAAATACTTTGTTATACTAGGTCAATAACGTCTTCTTCAATCACAATCATTGGTCGAGATCATGTGCCGCACAGAGAAATTCATGTGACCGAATTTTTCACAGTGCGTAGACAGTAATAGTCCTTCGCTTTGCTCCGGACAATTAATACTGAGAACTAATTCAATCAGTAGTGTACATAAAAATGGCCAAATTCGTTATTTAGATAATTGTATTTGTAATCAAGTAAATCGGGGAAATTCGTAAACACTTTATTACTATGAATTCTTATCAGTCAGTATCCGTGGCTTTTACCACTGTTAAGAAAGTTTACATATCCCCTGCGTCAACTATTGATAATCTCCTTGTACAATGGTATAATAGTGATCGGCACGAATAATTTTTGCTTCAATGGTGGATTCAATTAGGCATTCGAATACTTCTTTCGGCAGAAAAAGGAAAAAGAGAGAGAGATTCGATGTTACACGTTATTGTGAAGAGACTTCTCAAGTCTGTCATATAGAAATCGTCAAAGTATCAAATGAACAAGAATTTCGCTTCTAACAATATGTCGCACAAAGAGAACATCTTGTGACAGTACAAAAACTGGGTTTTGCATTGCACAAAAACATCTATAATATTAACAAGGCAGTAGTTGACAATAGATTATTAGATCAGTACAAGGAACAGCTAACAAATCGAGTTTGTTTATGTTACACAACTATGGTTTTTGAATGCATCTTTGATATTTCATCATAATTTTTTTCCCGAACATGCAAGTGGTTCGAACGTTATTGGTACTAAACAGATTCAGGTAAAACAATTACCCACAACTTCTCACAAATAAAAATAAATTATTGAGTATTTGTATACATGCTGTCGGACACTGCATACAATTGTGAATACTCGTTTTAGCAACAGCCTGATATGGGTTTTCATATCAGTCGCTACCCATTACTTAACATCTAACTAACTTATATATTATTTTTATTGCCATTGATATTCTCTTCACAATTTCTTAATTATTCTTATCACGTATATTGGTTGTAGTAACAAAATAGTATGTTTATAACATGTCTTGTTCGTTTTGTAGTATACGATTCAATAAAGTAGTTAGAGTACAGTTTATGAGTAAAATAATGGTGAAACTCAAATTAGCTCTGTTTTTTTTTAAAAAAAAAGCAATAGTAGTCACGAGATTAGTAAGACTTATTTTTGTTTATTACACTAAATTAACACGTACTACATACTTAATATTAAGTAACAAAACAAGATGCTAAGTCTTTTATCAACTACTTGTAATATATCTAAGAATCTATGAGACTGTAATTAGTATTAAGCCACAAACAAAATTATATGAATCAAGTCAAGTTGAAATTTTATTTTTGAATTCTATGTGTATCATATGACATTAATATGTCTACTATTATACATGTGTACCGCCAATGGATGCTGCCAGTAATAATAAGTAATAAGGACAGTGTTGATAAACAAAGAATATCTTTGTTGTAGTAATTTGGTTACACAATAAATTAAGACAATATATTAAATGCATTTAATGGACAATATAAAAATAATCACAGAAATTGGTTGGAAAAGTGTCGAGATATAAAATTCCTGTGGTCGAATTGCGAGATATCTCTAGCTTAAAACTTACTGGAGTCCGATCGGGCCAAAATTTTACAAGTGATTATGATTTGTTATACATTATACGCAAGAAAATTATGCTCGCTACAGTACTTATGTTCTTTTTATAAGGGGGTATATTAAATGTATAATTATTTTAAAAATTAAAGCGGGAAAGGCTTTATGGAGCCCACGACAAATTCTTCCAAAAGACGTTCTTCGCGGCACGTGCAAACACTGTCATACCAAAGAAATGGATGAACTGTACTGTTTCGAATAGCAATATGTATTGAAACTTAATGACGGCGAAATTAACGAAAGCTGAAATAATAATAATGTAAATGGAGAGAAGTTAATCATTCGTTGCTAGTATCGGTTGATCGCGGACAAATAATATCGTTTCTAACAAATGGCATAATCTAATACTAAGGAGAAAGGGCCAGTACTAAGATTGAAAAAAATTCGTTTCTCTGGTCATTTCAGACACTTGCTTTTCCAATATTTTAATAAACTAAATTTTGCATAAATATTAGTATCATTAACAACCAAAAAGCTTAATATTAAATCTGCACCAGGGTAACCAAAAAATAGCTTATTAGGTTTGTCAGCTGATGTTGACATGCCAGAAACACAAAATTCATCTATTAGTGTTGGCACCCTGGTGCAGTAGCTGCATCAACAGTCAATGGTGAACTGAGATATCCACAGTAAAAATGATGTGGACAATTGCAAAAAGACAATCAAGAAAAAGTTCAACCAACCATCCTTGGTTTCAGCTTCTTGCACCTCAATACTCAAATGGACTGAGTTAACCATATTAACATTAATATAACTATATAATAATAAGTAAATTTACTATTACTTGTATATGTTTGATTTATTGGAAAGCAGGGATGACTGCTTAATATTAACGTAGTAGTAATGGTTATTTTGACAAACTATGCCTGTTTTAGAATAACTCAATGTGAAAGAAACCATTAAATATAGTAATAGAGGAGAACTCATGTTTCTATCAATTACAATATACAATAGTAATAGTTAATCTGATTTATACACCTTTTGGCTAGGCCAGATAGTAGCTCGTGACTCATGTTGGACATAATAATAATGAGCATAACAAGCATGAAACCGGCCACTTAATCATCTACCTATCTATTTCCTCTTCTCTCCCCCCACCCCCCACTATATTCATCTAATTGGCCTTTTGCCACATACTTTGTTGCATCTCTGTTCCTCTGACAAGAGTCAGTTGTATTATGTTAAAATTAGCTGTAGCTGATATCAGTAGTTAAGCAATAAAGTCTTATAAAATCGAAACCGGCCACTTAAAGTACAATCTCAATCTTGAGAGTTGCCCCAAATCAGTTCAAAGCATTGCTTAAAATTTGTTATTTGATATGGTGAGCATGGCATTTAATGGAATTGAGTGATTGAATAAAGGTGAAGATTATTTGCGATAATAATAACGCGGGAGGACAGAATAAAAAACAATGCCTCCATTTGATTTACCTTTATTAGTAATCTGCGGTTATTTACTATTACTATTATTAAAACTGTGGGACATAACTAAATTTAAAGTGTGATGGTAGTTTGATTAATTAAAAAACTCTATAGTAATAGTAATAGTAATAGAAAAACGACTGTAGATTGTGTGAATCATATTGTTAAAGTTATGAAAAAAAATAAAACAAAGCTCAGTGGCAATAGCCCTGTTCCAATTTGTGCCTTCCCCTGATTGGTGGATTAAAATCACATGATTGAAACGATGGGAACCAAAATTTGCAACGCTGATTTCGTTTCCATCTGTCCCCATCCCCACCACACACGGTTTTATGAAAAAGTGTGAAGAAGTAAAGGATTCCGTGTTGGGAGTTTTCTTTAAAAAATTGAATGGGGTTTACAAAAATATTAGCACTTTTCTCTTTGAAGCAGTTAATCCTGAAGTTGTCAGAGCCCAGCGAAGACTACAAATCAGTATGTATAACGTGATGTGTGCGGAAAGTATTATTGATATACTGCAGCATATTCTCAATGCGTTTATTGTTCCATTAGTCTGTCTTATCTGGTCTTCGACCAGATATTATCATGAAAATTACGGCCAGAGCGCTTTCGTTCTGGACGTATCAGACCACGCAGGAGTCCTGGTTGCAGGACATACTATACAGAAACCTGCAAGAGGTAAGAAACGAGTTTTGCGATAGCATTATTGATATACTGCAGCATATTCTCAATGCGTTTATTGTTCCACTAGTCCGTCTTATCTGGTCTTCGACCAGATATAGTTATAGAAATTACGGCCAGAGCGCTTTCGTTCTGGACGTATCAAACAACGCAGGAGTCCTGGTTGCAGGACATACTATACAGAAACCTGCAAGAAAAGTGCCAGCATTTAGAAAACAGTTGCACCTGGTAAATAAAACGAGTTTTGCGGTAATATATCATTCTAATGGTGCTTTTATATTTACTGAATTTAATTTGCTAAAAATTAGAAAAGCAGATGTTGCTGAAATTGCCAAAGAAATTAAATTATAATATTATTGCTTTTTGGATTATGTATATGATGATCCAACTCTTCTTTGATACTTCTCCTGCCCACTCATCAAATGGTAGTATTAGAAGAGGATGGTAATGCTGATATAGTTTTCATTTGCAGTGAATGTAAAAAAGATTACAATAATAAATAACAATATTAATATTCTTTCACTGTGAAGAATGTGGTAGGTTAAAAAGAAATATAGGTGTTATTGTCACTGTGTAGCAAAGAATAAGTCAGGCAAACCTCTTTCTACAGAAGAGTTAATTGCTCACTCAGTCTTTTAGTTATCATTTAGAAAACAAGACTAGAGAACTAGAAAAAGAATTATGCAGCAACATCCTTTGGTAATCCCTGAACTTCGAAAATTCACTAATACTAAAGAAGAATAAGAATTAAATATTGAGAGGGAAGAAGTAGTTAATTATAATATTAAATTCATGACAAATCAAAAGAATAAGACGATGAGAAAATAAAGAACTAGAAGCAGAGAATGCTAAGTTTAAAAGAAGAAAATAAACAATTAAAAGAGCAACAAAATGGTCAAGTTGCTCAGATTGAAGTTAAAGAAAATAAGAGATGACCTTGATTATGATTAAAAATATAATAGTAATAGTAATAGTAAAGAAATAAATTTATCAGTGTTATTGATTTAAGGGGCAATTTTCTCTCCTTGAGCTTTCTTTAAAATACTTCTAATGGTGCTGTGGTTCCATTGTGGATAGTAAATTAGTTCATATTCATATTTTTTATATTAATATGTGCAGTCAGAATAAGAAGCATAGTAATAGTAATAGATGAAATGGCTCAATATCTTTCCCCAGACATAATTCAGCTCATCCATTACTTCTCACATTAACATTAGTATTAGTTGCACCTAATAAAGGACACAAAACCATTATCTCAGACTACTCATAATTCATGTCATCATCCAAAAGCTGACTGGTAAGTAACTGTAACCACAGGCTATTACTATATGATTGTACTTTCCTCCTATTAATATGTGCTTATCCATCTATTAATTTCTTTTTCTTTAGTGTCAGCTTCAAAGTCTTTCACCACAAGATTTGACTCAAATGTCATTCATGGAAGTTAGCATTATAGAAGGATTATGTTTTTTTTCTACCGTTCCTCATTATCACTCACAGGTTTTAAGTCAGGTGATAGTGAGTAAGAAGGCCAATCGAGAGATAGTTATTTTCAAGCACCGTATAAAATGTAATAAACTTGAAGATTGTGTCAAATCAATTGATATTAATATCACATAATTTTTCATTTGACTTATCCATGTTTCAAGAAAAGTCTGCATCAGAATTTTAATTACAAGTTTGATCATTCTAATTAACGTATTGAATAATCATCAAATGAGTAGAAAAATCAAGAACATTAATTAGTATAGCACGGAATATTACACATTAAATGACATTATATTCTCGTGAACGTATAATTTTACGGTATTCTCTGATGGCCATTCAAAATGTATGACGTTGTTCGATGCTGGAACTGATAAATGCACTAGCAAACATAATTAACATAAAAGGTACAATTAATATTAATTCATAATATGACAGCTAATCAAGTCTCCGATCATTGTGTTGTAATTATATTATATACCAAACTTACCGTCATCACCAAGATTGAACCCGAATGCTTTGCGATCTCGGGATGCTCCCCCGAATACCCCAAGAAGGCTAGGAGACGGATTCCATACACGGACCGTCTTCTCGTCTAGTGAACATGACACAATGCGTTTACCATCTTCCGAAAAGGAGAGAGCCGTTACCGCTCTGGTGTGGCCCTATAGGGTACAAATGTGTAAGATGTTAAACCTACACTAATTGTTACTATATTTTAAAACTTCAACAGAATTATGCCGTCGTCAGTTCATGCCGTCATGTCTTAAATATCATATATCATAACGAACTGTCTTTCTCCCATTTTTCCCAGTCCAATAAGTGGCATAATAGTAATTGCCAACATAATTGACGTCATTCATCACGCACTTTTCAATCCAATATCATATATCGTCAAATCTCACCTCTAACACCTGGCACTGCGTTGCAGTTCTCAAATCATAAACGACCGTGGCACCTTCCAACGTTCCAATAGCAAGTTTCTGCGATGGACCATGGAAACTAATTGATGGAAAAGTCTTAACCAAATCATGCAATATACCAGTACTCGTCTGCAGTACAGTCTCTCTCATATTCGGTATATTCGGGTCCAAAGACTTCACCACGACCTCCACTACCTTCGGTAAGTTGGAATACAGCACAAGAGGCATCTTCTTAATAAACAGTGACACTAATCTCAAATAACCTTTCTTCTCTGTTGGCTTTTTGGTATTCTTTGTATCGTATATAAGCGTAGAAATAAAGAGCGGTGTGTTTATGGAAGCAACATGGAATATTGCCTGTCGTGCCATGGCCTTCACCGGTGCAACATTTGTATCGGAATCAATTGCTAGAGAAAATAGGGTACGCAACACTGCTGCTGCTTTGAAATGTGTTAGTTGGTTATACAGAGTTAAGGATAATAGATTAGATCAGGAGATGGCCGATTGTACAGGGATACGCTGTACGAAGAAGAAAGGATATGAGATTGCCATGTTGCAAAGCCTCGTCCACAAAGATCCAATGCCGCCAGCCGATTGGACAGTTTCGCTTCATCATTTAATAATATCGTAAGTGACAGGGATACGCTCTCTGCTACACTACAAATAAGACAATTTTGAGACTCATGGTAAAACGACCGTCATTCGAACTATAGTTTCAAACCGTTTTGGAGCACCATTGTACTTACTTCTCAGGTAACACTTTTGGGTTATCGACTCCAATCATGCCAAGCAATATGGTTGAACGCGCCATGTATTGATTATTCGAAAAATCTGGCCCCGAAGCGACTGCAGGCACTTAACGAGGTAATTAAGTAAATAAAAAGAAATAAGAAGCAATAAGAAGACAGGATAGAGAAGAAAATCGAAGCTATGGGCATTTAGCAATAGCTATAAGATTGAATGGGAGCGTAAGGAAATGATAACAAATAACGACTAACTCACGAAACTGCTTCCAATAATCAATAACGGCCTGTCGTTGCTCACGTGGCATACTGTTTAAGGATGACGAGAACAATGTTCTAGCAGCACTCTGCACATCAGCTACAGATAAAAGGCAAATACATTATAAACGAAATAAGTACGAGTTTCCAAATTTTTGTCTGCTAGAATTCCTTACTTACGCACTGAGTCTTGGAAGTATTTAGCCAAAAACGAAAGAGATGGGTAGCAAAATCCATCAATGCGTAGTGGAAGACGAGTTCCGTAGTGTGTTATTAAGTCATTTGAGTATTTCTCTAGGCCTAGAATATGTATGGCAGGAAAAAAAAGGTGACGTATGGGAAGACGTGTTAGCATGAAACGGACAAACGTTGACCGAACAGCACAATTCCGAATGCGTTTCTTAGGAAAACTAGATATATACCCTTCATCGAAAGAAAAGATCGTACGAGGCTTATTACGGATAACAAACGGGTCCCTGTAATTATAGGTGATATTTTCCATTGCGCACGTCCATCGCCGGGAGACGGGGCGGCCACCGATAAGCATCCGTTCGCTCTATTAGGATTATAGGCTGTTGTCAAAAACTAGGTGCAAGATTCTTGTCTTACATTCTGATTTTCTCTTCTTTCATGTTTTCATGTCTAACGACAAAAAAACTTACCCCTTCAATCCTAGGCTAATTCCATTCCAACTACGCTTTAAACCCAACTTCTCAACACAAATTTTATCCATTTCGTCATCAACACCCCACGAAATTAAACAAGAGATCAAACTATCCACCAATTTCGGTCCCAAAGCTCTGCTCGCAGTTTCGTTCGATGCTGATGTTGACGAGGTACCTCCTGTTAAGTGGTTAGGATGAGCCGGCGTTGCCCAAGAAACAATTTTTGATTGGAGCACAGGGGACTTTTCGTTTAATTCTTCGGGTTTGAAAAGCGTGAAGGAACCGAACGAAGAGACATGATAATGGTATATATCGTTTATCAACTGTTTTATGTTTATGGTCAGTATGTGGAGCGGAGTAGTGTCTTGAACGCGAAGAAGAATGTTGATGAGAAGATATTAGGATTAGAGGACAATAATTAAAAGTATATCCTGAATACAAGAATAAAAATAGACTTACCTGTCTCTTGGAAATGAATAGGTCGCGATATGATGCTTGATGATTTGCTATCTATTTGCTTGGATGCCTCATTTGATGGAATCACACTAATCAGTTAACAAATGACAGATACAGAATGAAATTTAATAATCCTCAGCAAGTTTGTCCAATCATTCTTTCAGGAAAGGAAAATAATCAAACCTCATCTTCCATTGTGTCTCATTCATCATATCCCTAGCAGCCTTCCCACAAACAATTTTATCTAGAGTGCCCGACTGTATCTATTTTAATGATATAAACGTTAGTTTACCTGATTTTCCAGTCTAACGTTTTGTTTTTGGCAAAAATACAAGTTGCAGCGAAGCGTGCGACGAAAGATTGTTGGGCTAGTAAATACTACTTCCGGTGCGTCACTTTCTGTCAGTATGCGGCCACACTCACAGCATGCCAATATCCTATTTCTCTGCAATAGTTGCTTTTCCAATCTTGTTATGCAGCTTCCTTTCAGTTTTTCTCAAGAGGGATAAATACGCAACTCACCTGCCAACAGTGTGCCGATTCATCTCGATAAAAAATCACCAATAAATCTCTATTTGGTCTCCATTGCAAGCCAGCTATTCCGTGTGTGTGCCCTTCGAATGCATATAGACAGCTCATTTCGTCCAATGAAATAATTGACAAGGAATTATCCCTTGCAATCGAAACAACACAACCACGAAGTCGTGTCCCTACATCACATGGTACGTCGACGAAAGTTGTGACAGATTGACTGTGGGTAGCAAATTTTGCTAGACGCTTTCCGTTTCTTGTGGGACGAAAGGAATTTGTGTATATGTGTATATGTGTATATGTAATGTTACATGTCAGTCAATCATGAGCAAAGACCGAGTATTTAACAACTTACTCAAAGCTCCATACACGAACTGAAAAATCTTCTCCTCCGGTTAAAATATATTTCTTTCCAAAGTTGGATGAACTTGGTGTGTATATACAGGTAACTCTACCATAATGACCTCTGAGTATTCGTACATCATTTGACTGATCCGCAGTCGAAAAGTCCTCTGATAGCACTTTGGAAAGCGGGTATATGTGAATCTCTCCATTATCTAAGAAATATAAAGATGACAAAAATAATGATTAAACACGTCTATACACGATTCGCCCGCATGAGTATCAATTTGAAAGCGAGTCTTTACCGTAACCGAAAGCCATATGTTCTTCATAAATCATAGCTGATACTGTGACTTCTGCCCTATTGTCTTCTTTCTTCAATGGCCATAGACTTGCCAAGTCCGATTCTTACCAGCAAAAATTTGTAATATAAGCAGGAAAATTCTAATGTAGAGACCTGAATTATCACGACTTCCTTCTCGAATACATACCAACATTCCATTTATTCACAGAAACTATGTCATTCTCACTTTCTGTGATTCTCATCCTTGCAGTATTGGCGGGGAGTGATTTCCATGAGAAATGGGTGCTGCTAGAATAGTTTCTGAACGTTAAAAGATACCAGGGGGATCGATCGGTAGAGTTAGCTGCTGCAAGCACAATCGTTTGGGACGTATGGTACAACCGAGCTAAATATCGAGAAGAAGTGATGGAATGATACGTATTGTAGTTATATTGGAAAGAAAATAGCAGTGTAGTTTAATAACAATAGCAAACGCATTTCATCTATGCATGAAGGTTAAGTAGCGTACCATCATTTTCGCAGCACACTATTTCTGTTAGCGTAGGCCTATTGCAAAAACATTGACCAATATAAAAATAATATATATTACAAGTCTTTTTAATATAATAAAAGAATTGCATAGGTCAAATTTTATATTCTTCCAACCTTGAACGTCCCGCATGCATCGTTTTTTCAGTGTTTGCATTTTCGTTAGGTGTAAGCGGCATTGATGATCTCCTAGATACACTGCGTCTATGAAGAGTAGAAGCATTGTCAACGGAGTATGCACGGTCCATTGATGGAAGCATGTAGACATATGCATTGCCACGCTAACATGAGAAGACATTGCTGAATCAGACTTTATGCGATAATGGGAAGTGATGGAATTTGGGTGGTTCGTCTTTACCTCTGTCCAAAGTATTAATTTGAATTTCGGAGCAAACGCACCAGACTGCCATATCTCGCCGCGATTGGGTACCTCTATTCGTTGCACATTTAAGGCTCTATTTCTACGTACTGTGAATGTCTAAAATGAATAAAATTTTAAGAATTACTGTAGACGCTTGTAGTATGTTCTCGTTTTACTCTTTCCGCAACTGAAACCTACCGACACCGAGTTCCTAGAGATAGCCAGAATAACACCAATATCATATGGATTATTTACTAATTTGAATATCTTCTCGCCGTTGGTGCTTAACACGTTAATAACATCATATTCTTTTGTAATAGTTTGCTTTGTTTCGTCGAATGACCATATTCGCAGTTTGCCATTGAATGTACAAGTCAGCAAGCGTATCTGGCGGGCATCTTGAAGTAATAACATTTGATTAACAAAACGAGTAAAAGAATTAGATATCCAGAATATATAATCACTATTGAAAGCGTGTTGAGTATTTGGAGCAATATATGTAGTAGAACGGCTGCAATTCGAATTCTAACCTGAGTCATAAAATGGTGTACATGCTGCCCAGTCATTATGTCCTCCCCATACTCGGACGACCTGAGGAGAAAAATGTATATAGCAATTGTTATTACCATAAGCAATTGCAACCCATCCAATTAAAACGCCTCAGCCGATATCTTACCTCTAAATTGGATACGTTCAATATTGCTATTTCATTCGAAAATCCGGAACATAAAATATACTTTGCAGGCTATACGATGGAGATTTATACGCGTTAACCGACATGGTAATATTCATGAGCCTTAAATTCTGGAGATTGTCTCAGCTAATATTAATGTTGCCACAACCCCTTTTGTTTGACTCACATACCTGTGTATAATCAGCCAAACAATTCAATGCCATTGGAATACCGTCTAGGACACGCGAGATGGACGCCAGACATCTCCCATCTACCAGAGACCATTTCATAATTTCCCTGATTTGACATGTGCAAAGTAAACGGATCAGTTACCGTGTCTTATATTCAATTTTCTACCGGTCCAACATTCATCTCTAATTCTATTTCTATAATTGTCATGCGTACATTGCCGCTCATGTCTCAAACACGACTTCCTCCACTCACTGTTCATGTCCACATTCACATAACTTACCCATCTTCTGAAGCACTAATCACAACATACTTATTTCCAGCATTCCCATCAGTCTGATTTTCGATTATGGCTAATGTTGTTACCGGAGATGAATGGCCCAGGCAGAAGATTTTATGTTGCAACTTATAGAGAGAAATAGGATGTTGTGTTGAGAGCGTATACGAGAAGAGTAGGGTTAAAACAAGAATAAGGCAATAGATTAAATATAATAAGCATTCGAAGTGTAATGCTGCCGTCTACCAGAATGACCTTTATAAATTCCCTCACTATTAAAATAGATCACTTTGTTTCTCACTAAAACAGTTTTCTCTCTTGATTACTTGTTGTAAAGCTTATTCGCTATAGATCCTATCGCTGAATGCGAGACCCTGCTCATTCGTTCACTACTTGTTAATATCGCTTCATATCCTTCTCGACCCATTCAGATCAGAATATTTACCTCAATGTTTCCTCTCTCGCCAATTCGCCATGCATAAATCCATATAGATCCGTTCTTCAAACCAGTTACTATATGTGCCTCTTTATATGCAATACAAGTCACTGGTGAATATGGGGGGTGATCCCACCGCGCGATCGGGATGACAAGAGAAGAGGAGGACATTACAGTTATGCAAGGAGCGGAGGCGAACAGACTAGGCTGAAAAGTGTGGTTTCTTTGTGTTTGCGGTCAGTTGATAGTTCAAATGTATCATGCGAGGGATGAACAAAGTTTTTTAGCTATTAAACCTTAAATCAATTAGCGGACAGGCATATTATAGACCATCTATTAAAACAGTAGAGTTAAAATGATATCGTGGGTCACAAGATAAACATTAATTGGATGTCATACGATGTTCACGCCATCACCCGGTAAAATTTTGTAATCATATTAATATTAACTGGAAATTTGACATTGCCGTTCCGTTTACATAATAATAATGGCTATTTCTTTAAAGATAAATCACTTTATTTCGGGTCAGTGATCTACGTGCATGTGAAAAAGCATAACTACAATCGTTTTCGTCATTAAAAATGACAGATGATGGTTGGTATTATAAACAAAACCCGGCTTGCCTTCTACTTCTACATCGAACATTATTACGATTTACAGTAGCAAACGCTTGCGCTTTCATACTACAGTCTTGCTATAAATAGGCAGACCCTGTTGAAAACAAAGACGTGGGAATTTTGACTACCAACACTTGCGCGAATTCCAATACTACTATTGAAGCATTCTAAAGCAGACCGTGATATCGTTCTCTAACAGTAAATTTATGCTACGGTCCAGTTTTCTGTGTAATTAAACCTGGCATTATTGCTTCGAATTGCTATGCTAACCATATATTGAGGCAAATTTTGAAATACTATCATGGTTCATTGTTCCTAGAAATGATAATGCCAAATTATAAATGCTGCAATATATAGATTATGTGTTCTTCTTAGCTGAAGTAGTCATGCTACCAAAGCAGGAGGAAAAGGAAGGCATCTGATGCTTTATCAGCAACGCAAGAACCAGCTACAACTTGACAGAAATTCGCAAACACTGAAATCCTTTGGGTGCATTCTCAACAACAGTACCATGATTGACATGAAATAAGACTATATTAAACAAGGCGAGATAGAACTTAAAGTTATTGAGAGTCCTATCTAGACACTCTAACAAACCAATTCTATAATCAATTCATTTAGGCCCTAAAGTCAAAGATGAATGTCATCAGCATAAAATTCTCCGTGAATTCCACATGCTCTTATACAAGTGTTGTACCATACCTAACATGTTCTGAGGTCGAACCCATTGATCAAACTGTTCGCTTGTAAGAACTTTCAATTTGATAGCTGCCTCTTTAAGCTACAAAAAAAAATAGTCAACGTGAGTCGATTATTCTAATAAATGTTATTTGTGTTACTACTCACCGTCGTTTTCTCCTTATAAGCTGTCTTGGCTATTAGCGATGCCTTATCGTAACCAATATGAGGATTCAATGCTGTCACAAGCATAAGACTTTGATTCATCAATAAGTCAATCTGTTGGTAATGGAAAGTATCACTTGTTAGGGCATAGATAAACTTTTGATGTTATAATTATGCGATCAGGTGACTTGGTATACAGCTATCGTTAACGATGCATTAAATAGACAGTAACTTGACTCACCCTCTCTTCATCGGCCTGGATGCCTGTAACGCAGTTGTTGGTGAATGAAACGCATGCATCTCCAATGAGTCTTATCGATCGGAGGAGATTACTAATTAACACTGGTTTAAATACGTTCAACTATAATGAACAAATACGTATGATATAAATAAACGATTCATCCGGACAACATATTCCCAACAAAAACTCACCTCAAAATGCCCGTTGGATCCTGCAATGGAGATGGCGGTGTGATTGCCCATGACTTGAGCAGCAACCATTGTCATTGCCTCGCATTGGGTAGGATTAACCTTCCCAGGCATGATTGACGATCCCGGCTCGTTGGCGGGCAATAGAATCTCACCAATACCACATCTAGGACCGGAGCCTAGAGTATTGATTAGAGGTAAATTGCATATGAACGTTAGGAGTATTAACGACGATAAAAAGAGTCAGAAACTGTTATAGATGAATTCCGTGTCAGTTGTACCGAGTAATCGTATGTCATTTGCTATCTTCATCAAAGACACAGCAACTGTGTTCAGAGCTCCACTGGTTTCAACTATAGCATCATGCGCTGCTAAGGCTTCAAACTAAATATTTGTGAAGTAATTATTTAGTTAAAATTCCACGCTGATTTAGTATTAGTGCCTTCAGGCTACAACGGTCTTTTCCAAATAAGAATATGAACATTTCACAACAGCCTATTTTCACGTCACTTACTTTGTTTGGTGCAGTTTTAAATGGCAATCCAGTAAGCTTTGATATTTCCTTTGCAACCTCAACATCAAATCCCTTGTATGTATTTATACCCTTTGAAATAACAACAGCCGATAAATATCGTACATGCTTTACATAACGCTCATTCTATAATGCCTGCGGTCTATGGCGAATATATTCTCTTACAGTTCCAACAGCAGTTCCTCCCTGAGCAAGGTTATACAATCTTGGCAAGGATGACTCTATTCTTTCTATTCCGTAAGCCATTTGTTGTGCATATCCAGAGAACTCATTTCCAAGAGTCAGCGGGGTCGCATCCTGCGTTGTAAGAATTAGTAAATAAGAGATATAGTCATTTCAATTTAATGTGGTAAAATGTACTGCATTACATCGCCTGTCTATATAATATACTACGACACAATGTCAGTACACATACTTGTAAATGAGTCCTTCCAATTTTTACAATGTCTTTGAATTCCTTTGCCTTCGAATCTAAGGCGTTCCTCAATTTGTCCATGGCTGGGAGTAATTTCTGATTTATTTCTAATGCAGCGGAAATATGCATTGCTGTTGGGAAACTGGATTGAAATAATCGGCATGGAATGTTGAAAACGAGGTATAGTCATAATGTTAGTATTGTCTTATGAACAGACAAGAAGGGGTTAGGATTGAAAATGTCTGTATACAAGCAAAAATGCACTCACGAATCATTCGACGATTGCGCCATGTTAACGTGATCATTAGGATGAACAGGATCTTTACTGCCAAGCGGTTTACCAAGAAGTTCTAAAGCACGATTCGAAATGACCTTGGAAGATTACATGGTAGATATATCTCAATATGGGAATGCGGTTGATGTATGAGACGAATATACAATATCCCCTCATACCTCATTGACATTCATGTTGGTCTGAGTACCAGACCCAGTCTGCCACACTACTAATGGAAAGTGACCCATCAGCTTTCCAGAGATAACCTAAATTTGAATAAAACAAGGTTACACACACAATATCCTTATGCCCGTCTACCGTGAAAAGAAGCCGAATTCTGACCTCATCAGCAGCGGCTATAATGGATTCTCCGATTTCTTTCTTTAGACCATGATCAAGATTCACACTCGCAGCAGCCTTTTTGAGATATCCAAACGCCTTGATTAATGGTTCCGGCATTCTTTCGGTTGGGCCTCCGATGTCGAAGTTCTGGAGGGACCTGATATATCAGGATTCGGGGAAGTAAATTCTCCAAACGTGGCGACTGTGCTCGGAAAATTTTTTTTATCGCGTGGTTTCGCTAGCCGAATTATTCCTATAACTTACCTCTGTGTCTGTGCGCCCCAATAACGGTCAGCGGGGACATATATCTCACCAATAGCGTCTTTCTCCAGTCTTTTCTTTTGGTCCATTGAGTACTAATCCACAAATATGACAATCAAGGCAGAAAGCAATTTTCACAGTATCAACAATAATAAAATAACTCAATTCAGTATCTTGTGCGAAGATACACGATTCATTCAATTCCTCTCGCCAAAGAATTCCAGTACTTATTTAATGTTGAGAAAAAATGATGGTCCAAAAGTAGTTTTCCATATCGGATAAAGATCCACGAATAATTAAATATTTTCCCACACACAAAATACCCGCTTACCCATAGCGTCGATGTCAGATGGAACGTCCTGTAACTGGATTTTGATAACTAGTTTATTGTGGATTTATCTTGAGCACAAGAATTCGACGTGAATGCATACAACACGTGTACTATTTTTATGAGTAGCATTCTACCCATAACTTACAGGCACTGATAACTGATTCGCTATGCGTAAAGCCTTAAGCATGGTATCTATTACGGCGGAGGGCGCAAAAAAAAACGAGAATGTAACTATTAATATGGGATACATGTACTTTGAACTTATCATTCATTGGTTGAAATTTTATTTAGGGGCGTGTATTTATTTGGCAAGATCACTTGTTGATCATCACGCGTAATTAATGAAGCGTGGTTTTATTTTGAAGAAAGAGCGAATTATCTAATATTAAGTCGGAATATACTAATACACTATTACTATAGCAAGCACAGCAAAAACCCGCATGCCTCATCCGTTATGAAAACCTGGTTGTTTGTGATACATGTGATATCCTACTTAAGCGGCGATGCTATAAATATTTAGAAAACAATTAATAGCAGCAATTATCATTCTTTATTTGATTGACAGATTGTATCTTAGATATCGTAAGGTCTGATGAAGAATATAGTTTTTGTCCGTCAAGCATGTCCGAATGAAACACGAATCAAGAAACTTGACTTAATATTAACGCGAATTATATTATTCGCTAAGGGGTAATTATATTCGGTAACAAAAAAGGTAATCTTTCACGTGACATAAACACTTCAAAAAAATGTTCCATAGAAAATCTGTAAAATTGTGGAAAGATAAAGATAATGCCGAAAAATATTACAGAGCTAGAAGGAACGTCTTCTCGTTCTTGAAAGCCATAACATTGTCTATAATTGTTAGTTAGCGGATAGATTTTCTGAAGCATGATTGAAGACGGCAACTTTCAGCGACATGGCTAGCATGTTATCATACTCGTTACTTAACTGCTATCATAGAATTTGCTCGCATAAGTTTAGTCACTCTTAGAACGCGAGCTAATACTAAGCTTGCATCTAAACTCACTTTCCTTTAACATTGTCCCATTTTGATAAGAGACCAAAGTATCTGCAAAATTTGTTTTTCGGCGTCGAAGAGGAATCCCCCTTTCGTTTCACCAGGTTCTACGTTCCATCGTGCGTACTAGATGATAAGGTGAACTCACATCGAACAGTTCCTCTGCTGTAAATCGGTAAAAGAAACGTCACATCAGAACTTGCGTGTAACCCCTTGCTATTGGCTTCGCTTCTACAGTGAAGAAAACATTATTTATACTGTAGCATACGTAATGTGTCGTTATAACAGTTAGAGCTTTCGACAAAAGATTAAAACTGACTTTTTAGCATAATCAGAAATATTCTTAGACCTGCCGCTAGAGCTGTTCAAGGAAATTGATATGAATTATCAGATTAAATCATGTTCACAATAATAGCCTCTTATCCCATATAATGTATCCTCCGTTTCCATGAAGTAAACAACGCTTGGTTCACTTCTCGTCTTGAAAGGACACAGTGAGAACACTTAGGTGTCTATTATTATCCGCTTCAGAATACATGAATCTGACAATACTAGTCAGCGTCATACCTGATACAGAAGCGATCGAACTGAACATAATAAACAGACCTCAAAACGTTTGCTGTAAATTTCTAAAGTGGTAACGGTAAGCAAATTTGTGGGATGTGTTATTGATATAAATAAGTGTCACGGGATATTCCAAATTATTCGGACGATAGATACATTCTGCGTCGGTCCTAATAAAGAACACGTACCTGAACACGGAAGGGGGAGTACCCTTAAATGACGAGTCTCAATTCAAAGCGATTGTATATTCAAAGCGTTTTGACATGAAAACGCCCGGATGAACTAAAATTCTCAAGGTAGACGTTCAATTATCTACTTCAGGAGTTGGCGTTCGTGGTGTTTGCAACGTTCTGCGTCAGAGATGAAGAGAATAACATTTTTGGAAGTAGGGTTGCGCTAACTCGGATAGTATATCACGTTGGTTTTGGCCACATTTTGACTAGGCCTTCAGGATAAAGAATATTCTTTCATGGGAACAAAGATATTACATATAGGGAGATAATGGGCTACTCAATTTTTCATGATTATGGTAACTTAATGCCATATGAGACCGGTTAGCACTATGTGACAGTATAATTATGGGTAAGTGCTACAAGATATTATTATCTTATTCATTTGTAGAACGAGTAGAGCCGATTGTTTCTCGCTCCAAATAATTTATGAGATCTCTATACTATTTCATAATTGAAAGAACAGCCCAAATTTCACCCGGCATCGCATCTTCTCCGTTGCAGAACGCGACAGTTGAGACAGGCCTTACTACTCATAGCAAAAGGTCATTTATGCTTGAACTAAAATTATCTAACATATCTAACGTTATTGGGCACTGTTGTAAATCATTCACATCACCAACTCTCGCTTCTCTCATCCATATCCTTGTCGCAATATCTTTTCTAACAGTTTGCTGACGGGTAACAGTCAACCGAAGCGCTGTCTTCTTCATGAGAAATGCGTATCTTCTTTGGAACCTGGTGGGAACCGCTGGTAACGTCCCTGCTCGAGCCGTGAGTGGAGCTTGTGATCTTGGTGGAGATATCGCTTCTTTCAGGTCTGCGAATCACACGAGAGTTGTTACGAAGCTGGCACAAACCTGGCCTAATCGTGATAGGGATTAGGAACTTCCCTAGGGCAAGTCTTGTCAAATCTTGAATTTTCAGAGTTTACAACTATAAATGTGCCAGTTTACTATTAATCTTTGACGGTCAAGTAATTAAACTCCTCAGGATCCCAGATGGGAGTTCTTTGAAGAGGTTGGATCTTCCCTAGTATTCGTTATAACTTGTTGAAACAGTTAACTTGGTCCAAGTATGCCTTCGATCCATAAGGATATTGTCTCGGACGCTGGTTAGTGATATTCCTTGTTCGAGACAACCATTGGAAGACTAAGCTTATCGGTTTCGATTCGTCTTAGGGGTGATTTAAATGTTTCGTAAGACTATTACTATAGTTTGCCGGTTGGAACAATTAGGATTAAACCACGCCTGAAACGTTAAAAGTAATCTTTTATTTACAAGCTTATGAGTTTACAGACCAAGCATTGGATGGATACATTTGCTGGATGTTTCCCAACCTTCAACAGTGCCGTTCGACCTTTGTTCCGCCAGCATTACAAAATAAACTTTGTCAAAGGGGTGTGCGACTTCAAATGTTAGGATTTTTCTGCACGATTAATGTATGGTTTCGATCGGCAGGACTGCGTAATAATAAGCGATAAAGACTATTTCTTAAGCTCTGTCCTATTAGTGCAAGTGCAATTATGTTAATTGAAGATGATTTTTTGCCGGATGCAAGATCACTCTTTCATTCATTATTTTAAACATTAATTACTTACTATCACTATTACGGTATCAAGTAATAAATGATGACACTATGACGGGTTACCATGAATTCCAATATGGAATTCGATGATTGGGAGAGTAGCGCAGCATAATGATATGATAAATACTATTACTATTATTTTATTAATAAAACGTTAATACTGATATGTATTAAAGGGAAACAGTATATCCATACACCACACTCGGTACTTGATAATAATATACCAGCGTAGCAACAAAACGAACGATCCAGATTAAGATCACGATATAACTGGATCCTAGTCACATGACCGCTACTGAAAAAGATATGGGGAATTGATTCAAAGTTGGGCCAGTTTTAATTGAGGAAATTGTTGAGAATGAACAAATGTATCACAATGCTTTGCTACACAATTAGGTAACTCCTCCTAGTAATAAGAAGTAATATATTTACTAATAATGCAATAATACATTCACCATTATTCCAAAACTCTCCCACTTACTATCTTCACAAATCTGTTTCTTCATCTATTTCACCTATTTATACACCCACACACCAATCCCCACCCACTACATTCAGTATTTCCTTCACTCTCACTAAAGCCCAGAATGGATGAAGCTCTCACTAAACCAAGAAATGTTACTCACACTCTATACAAACTATACAACTGGATGCAGATGGGAATGATTGACCTCAACCCTGAGTTTCAAAGAGGTATGTTGGCTGCCATTCAAAAGCCTATTGTGATATTCTTGTTATGCATTGCTTGAATGGAGGGGTTAAACTGGCTCTTCCAGACAGTTGTGTGGAAACAAGAATGGAGCTTCACTACTTTCTATATAATAACTAAGTAAGCCTGTAATAACTGGTTAATTAATTAATTTTCTGGTAATTAATTACATATACATGCTTTGTAACATGACAATATGCAGATGTTGTATGGACAGGTAAAGTATAAGCATATCCTTGTTTGACTTGTAGTTACAGGAGAGCAAATACGATAATAATACGCTTGTTTAATGCCCTTTCTATCGAAAACAGGGACAAAACAATCGCATTTGATTGACTCTATCCTAAAAAATTTTTATGTTCCTCCCGTCATCTTCTCGTGTAAGAAGCTTGACAATAAAAGATGGCTGCGAGTGGTCATCGACGGAAAACAACGATTAACATCTATTAGAAGGTAGTGTTGGGTTTTTGCGTCTCAATTACGATTGATAAATCTGGTATGTTTATACTCAAAATAGTGCGTATTGTTTAGATTTATGGACGGAGAAATTCCACATACAAGTCCGTCAGAAGGTGGCACATCCAAAAAATACTACAGATCAGTGTCATCCAACTCCAGATGCCTATCAGACGCAGAGAGGGAACTTTTTGATTGTTCAGAGCTTGTATGCGGTGAGTAGTGCAAATGAACCGAAGGCCGATTATTTATGGCTGATAACAACAGCGATATTCGGCCGGTATAGTGTTAACGATGCTGATTTATGATTAACATTCACTGTCATCGCAGTTGAGTATTATGATCTTACGTTAGCTCAAGAGCAAGAAATTTTCAGTAGAGTGCAGCTGGGAGTTGCACTGACAGCAGCCGGTAAGTTGAGAAAAAACGGTGGATTAGTACACACAAGCGTCCGAAAATTTTTAAGTTCAGACTTTATTTAGTCAACTTAATTTGACCCATTGGTTTACTTAACATACACGTATTAACTGAATAAACTCATTATTCGTCTTCAACGTTATGTTAATTGGTAACAATCTCTCTTTCATTCATTACAGAGAAACTACAGGCGATCAGTAGTCCTATGGCAGATTTTGCCCATAATCTCTATTCTACGTATCCCACCTTGGCCACAATCATTGACACCCGGCGCGGTCGACCATTTCAGTTAATCACCCAATCCCTGCACCAGATTGAGCATGCACCGGAAGTCTTTCGTGCCACACCTGTTGTAATTCAAAAGTTTCTTAAAGACGAACGAGAAGTTCCAGTTGAGTTGAGAAGAGTAGCACGCAGGGTATACGATATGATAGTTAGTATGATCGAGGCAGATGCCGAGTTGTTCCATCGGGGACATAGGCTTGCGCCCATAGAGTTTGTATTCCTCTGTTGGATGATTGCAAGATTCCCCGGGCTTTCTATTGCTCAGTACCAACATCATCTTCTTGGAATGAAGGATTATGTGAGGGAAAGGCATGAGGATGTGAGATTTAATGGCAAGTGCTACGAAACTTTGAAAAGATATCTAGATGAACTAGCCTATGAGGTAGAAGACACCCAAGACACCACACCAGGATATACGGAGTATGCAGTCGCCGATCGTCGACGAAAGAAGATGAAAATCGATGCTTCTGCAACTAAATGAACCGTAAGTGGGGTGGCTTTGGAGCGAGATTGTAAAATCAACTTGTTCTTGTGTCTTGAAGTTTTATATATTTGTTATCTGTTGTTCTTGATGTCGTGAATCAAGTTATATATATATATATATATTGTGATCGATAATCTAATATTATGTAAATTGGTCTAACGCGTGTAGACGTTCCGTTAAAAGAATAAAATCAAGCAACAGTCAATTGGAAGACTCGTGTTATCAGTGTACTCGTCCGCTGATGACAAGCATATATAGAACAAGAAAATTTCTGGAATGTATGTTTCAAGTACCACAGATGTTATCGGTAATTTATTCTTATGAATACATAAATTATTATCCTTTTCTGAATAGATGTAGTGGGCTAACTAACAAGAAAATTAGAATTTTATTTGCTGATTACGAAATCGTACGAGTTATTTGAACTGTAGCCACGGAAAAGTCTCAAAAGTTATCAAGTCGTGTGTTTAGGCTTCATGTATCTATTAAAACACGTTTCTTTACGATGTCTTGCCAATATGCTGTTATGTAGGCTAAGTTAGCTTGAAAGATTTCTTTTGATGGCTAATGTCAGGCTCCCACGTTGTGTAATGGCCATCATTCTAATATCTATCATTGTTTTGAAAAATGAACTTTTTGCTGATTGCGCTTGTTTCTCTTTCTTTTCTACCTTTCACAATAATCAATCAGGACGTTGTTTAACAACGTATCCTTAAACTGATAGCTGTAACTAAGAAACTGATTGTTCAATTGCCATTGACATTAGCAAGTTGACAATATATCCCATTCGTCCGGGCGACCCCTTAACGACTGGAGTCTGGCTTATAGATTTGGCGTGCGCTATCTGGTTCTTGCCTAAACTCTCTTCGTTACTTGAGCAAAGCTCTCTTTAAACGCCAAACGTTCTTCGCGTATCTCCGAAACGAGATCCATCCGCTGTACTCTGACCTAAAATGGTGTTGCAAATAGTTTTACGAGTGAACGAATTGATTATTCATGGTCGTCATTATGACTCTTTTTTTTTTCTAAAGATTACACGACGGTTTAACCCGATCCTGCTGTAACGAAAGTATTAGGATTGAGAAAAGAAATTTAATATGATGATCTAAGGTTAATCGGTAAAAGGGAAAACGAAACTGTATTAACGGTTGAGTTCATTGGTTGGGATACATTTCCGAGCCTTCGAATATTCAGGAATGAGAAATGTGGAGGTTATAGTTATGTGACTCGTTCTTCCAGGATTATGTCCTTGTAGTATAGCTAGTTGATATCCGATCACGTGTCTTATCGTAAAACGTGTATTCTGAAGATAAAGTTATTCCAAAACTGGTGTTCAAAACGAAGGACTCTTTAGAAACGAAAAGCAGTAGTCTACACACATGATCAAACTGTCGACCACTACGACGATAGCTGAATTGCAATCAGAATGCACAACGACGTCCTGATCTGTAACTATAACAAGAACATTTTGACTGCCATCGAATTATTCTGCAGTCCCAATCGCCATATAAAACGTATATACAGTGATGCGATGTGAAACCAAAACGATTTGAAAAATTGTCTTTTTTTTGCATCTCAGTTAAATTGTATGATATTTCATTATTTTCATCAGCATTAATTCTACAAAGCTAACTAGAAAGTTATTCCCACTCTTCACCCATGACGTTCTAATTTTTCGGCTTACGCATTTAAGTCCGGACTATTAGAAGGCCATAACCTCTGAAACGTTGTCTTTAAGGAATTTTTGGGCAATGCGACAAGTATGATTTAACATTATCCTGCTGTAGTCGCTAATTGCCCTTAAACATGCTTTTTATCTTTGGAATATTTTACTTCGATCTTTTGGAATAGGGCGCATTGGATTGACTTCGCAGTCTTATACCAATGCTTTTATTGTATTACGAAACAATTAAAACGCGATTTTGTCACCAAATATGTCTTTTTTCAATTGCATTATATATTTTTGTGCCCATTGCTTATGGGCTGGTGTACAAGTATATCACAAAAAAAATGGCTGCTCTTCAAACGCGTGTATTTTTGCAATATAAATTACTTTGTTCCACTTCTTAATGTAAACATTTACGGTCTTTTTTAAACTGTCAACTAGTTCAATTTTTTTGTTTTGCTTAATGATAGCTTTTTGCTGTCAGATTCAATTGTAAATATTACAATCAAATTTGAATACGCATTACAAGACCATTAGTGTGTCCGTCAATGGCCCAGTCTCGAATCTTATAAAAAAATTGTGACAATTGACCAAAAAATTAGGTCAAGCATTGCAGACAGTTAGGGCGGTTTACAGTCGAAATTAAATTTTATTTCTGATAAAATGTTAATCAAAAATGTAATCTAATTATGGAAATATTTGTAAAAAAAATTCTCTGCTCATAAGCTATTAAATGAAGTATAAATATTCATTAACCATTATTATTACAGCACAACGCCCAATAGTGATTTTTTCGTCACACTATAAACATAAGGGAAGAGCATTCCGGTAACAAGGTCATTCAAATGCCCTGATACTGTTGAGCGGGAGATGTTTATTCCAATATCCTTCAATTTTTGAGTAATATATTTAGCAGAAATTTCTTCTAATAGACTGGCCACTTGCACAAGAAGCATTGGTCGTTATTTTCTTACCTTTATGCTCCACAACGCCAGTTTCTTTAGGTTCGATAGATGTATCTTTGTTGCTGATTGAACTTCGGCAGCTGTTTGTATTCCCTACTGCCAAAAAGTAATATCGCTTGACATTGAACTTCTCTTCTTAGGTGGAGACATTTAACGCTTTATAAAAATTTATTACAAGTTTGAGGTATTTCATTAATCACATGCTTGTGGCTGAAGTTGAAGAAGTTACACTAATTAATCTTGTGCACACCACTGTATGTCGTCATTTAAAGCTTTTACCGTGTCAATTAAAACATTTTACAGTTTATTTTATGTATTTATTTGATGTCTAAGAGTGCGATGCAATCTATACTCGTAATTTTGTACATCTATATTAATATCTTCAGGTCAGAATGTAAAATCATATAATTATGTCAAGTCCTAAATAATCAATTAATTGTCGTAATGCTTGTGTTGCACAAAGAACATTCCATTCATCCAGAATATTGGGACTCCAGTACAATCGTCTCGATAAAGTCGATCGTTTTCCGATCACATGCTTAACCAGGCAGGCTGCAAATTTTCTATCCGCATATACAATGAATGCTACGGGCTCTTACATATAACAAATAGTTGACAGTCTATTTCGGTTACTTCTATAATCGTGCTAACGTGTAAACAGACTTCCATCTCGGTCAGATCTTTTAAAATGGAGACATTGATATCTACTGTACAGATCTAAAATAAAAACGGGAATTTTCTGGTTTTGGCGCCACTTATGCATAGTTTGAGTAGCACGAATGCAAATTGGCAAGTTAACATCGTAACGCGTCGTAATGAATTGCAAGCGGATAAGGTGAAACTGATAATTATATCACCAAGGCCGTTAATATTAGATACGGGACAACTATCATTTTATCTGCAAAAAAGCTATTTATTATTATCGGTTGGTTAAAAGGTTTGATTTGTTGAGTTTATGCGCATCTTACACATCTATCTTGTGTCCTTTTCACCACTTACTATAAAAGGAATATCAATGGATGAAAGGCTGATTCGAAAGAACAAATAAATTGTAGAGATGGGCAATTGAAAATAAGCGATAAGGATTAGGTTTGTAGATGAGCCGAAGTTGTTTGTTCGATCGCTTATCAATCTGAACCAAATGTGCATTGACAATGTCAAACTCAAGATCCAGTGATGCACAATTCATTTTTAAGGGAAGTCTTTGTTCTTTTCTAAACAATAATAGAACATCGCATTTCAACCTATTATTGTTCAATCCAATAGGACGGATCGGCTCAACTTTCTTCCCAGGTGACACGGTAATCTTCAACTTGATTGACGATCCTTTACTTTCTGTACATGTTTTATCTCGTAACAGTGTAAATCAAAAAAATATATGGCATGTTCTAAAATAAGATTGCTAATAAGGTTCAAGTAATTGAAGAGGAAGGGGGTTATTGACAGCGTTAATCGTTAGCAGGTATCTGCTTTTGTTCTTAATACACACGCAGTAGTGCGATCTCTTACCTTTTGCCGATGTCAGTTTGGAAGGACTGTATTCTGCCTTTTTCAATTTACAAGTTCATTGAACATTTTAATCTATTTAAGCATTAAAGCTCTATACATGAATACTACAAAAGGCAAGAATGCAACAAAATAAAGAGCTACAAGTGATATTTTATATTGGAAATCAGAATATGTAACAAAAAGTTTCCCCTGAGATTTTGTTTATTTACCAGAAATTACTGGATTCACCCAACAGATCACATGAGGTAAGCCGTGTTTATAATACTGCTCGTACCGACTTTTCGTCGTTTCACATCTGGCGCACTACATATTTATAAGATAACCGAATCTTTCATAGAAATACCTCTACTTCGTTTTCTTCTACCGCCATTTCTGTCCTTATCACCGCTCTTTAAATCATTTCACAACTCCCTTAACACTCTTTTTCATTCTCACAAGTCACCTATAAATGACTAGTATTACAAGCTCGTTATCTTATCATGCATATCTAGTCGTTGAAGTTATCTCGCACCTCGAGGAACAAATAGATCTCTTCTCATGTTGTCTAGTCTCTCGTCTCTGGAATACGTGTGCAACATACACACTCTGGCGAGCACCCCGCATAAAACGTGCCACCACCTTTGACAAATTTATTCGCACTCTCTGGCGCACTAAACAAAATGGATCAACCTATGCATATGGCTGCTTGATACATAGTCTCGATCTATCTCGAATATCGCATCATGTCACATCGGCACAATTAGATTTAATATCCGAAATATGCGGCGTGTTGAAACATATTGATTTTTCTAATGTTGGAAATGTTTCGACTACTCTAATGTGCCAAATTACATATCGTTGCTCTGATTTACGAACTTTGAAATTACTAAATTTACCCCATATTAATGACAAAGCAATCAATATGATATTCAGCCGATGTCCAAGAATAGAACACTTTTCCATCGGTGATTGCGGAAATGTTACCGACAACGGTCTCGCCGAAATAGCTAGCTATGGAAAGAATCTTACTGGCCTCGAGATCATTCTTGGCAACAAGATCTCATGCGGTACTCTGTCGTCACTAGCCAATTCATGTACTAAACTCAAATTACTCCACATATGGGACTGCGGAGACTTGGATGATTCGGCCATTTTGTCGATTTCTACAAATCTAAATGATACTTTGGAATCGCTTATATTGAACAATCCACCCGCGCTTACAGATGAGTCATTGGTGCAAATTGGTATGCGCTGTCGTAACTTGAAACATTTTGGACTTGAACCGCATTGGGGAGTTACAAACTCTACTTTGGCCACCTTAGCTGAAAATGCAAACGGCCTGGAGTCATTACAACTGTCATTACAATATGCAAGCCGAATAACTAATGAAGGGATTTCTGTATTGTCCCGTCGTTTGAAAAATCTCAAGAAAATCCAGATTCAGGAGTCGAATACACTACATGTTAATGATCTAGCTCTGACTTTTTTAATTACAGAACAGCGCATTAACTTGACTAGTCTACACATTTACAATTGTAATTTTAGTGATCTTTTTCTTGACACTATTGTCAAGACTCGCCCGCCTATAAATGACGTCTGCTTCTTTCAGTTACCATTAATATCAGATTATCATTTTATTCGTTTCCTTGCAGCAGTATCGGACACTTTAAATTCTTTACAATTGTCGTATTGCGATAATATTACAGAATTCAGTGTAATTGAAGGATTAGGAGTATATGGGGGTGGTTTAAGAAAACTCAGTATATGTCCCTCGGGTGAAATGACTGCTGAGGGACTAAAAGCAATATCCACGGGATGTTCAAATCTAAAAGAATTCTATTTGTCAAGTACTGAAGATTTACCAACTCAGGTATACTCAAGCAGTCCATATAAAAAACAATGTCTGTTCGAATTCAAATATTGATGGTTATTATTATTATTATGATTATTTATAGGTTGTCACATTACTGCTGACGAGTCTAAGAGAACTTGAACAACTTCGAATTCGAGATTGCCCCAACATCCATCCTGATGATCTTAGAATAATAGCATGTGGATGTCCCAATCTTAAGGAGTTCTACTTTGGCCCTAGTCCATATGTAGACTATGCATTTATACAAGAATATAATTCTAATGGCAAATCAAGACCCTTACTCATACAAGGTGAGGGATAAGTAACACCACAGACTCTCATGCATATATGGTATCACAAATTTTCATTCTATTCTTTATGCAAAGAATCTTTATTATATGAAGCCTGTCAATACTTTAGAATGAGAAGCGTAACAATGTTATAAACGCAACGATTCAGACAATATTTTCTTTCGATAATCAGATATGATGGTGGGTATCTGACTTCTGTTAGACCACGTACGATAAACAAATCCCCTAGCATCAAAGAACTATCTACATCCATTCCTTTCTGGATGCAGATTTTAATTTTGCGAAATGGTTTATTATCATTATATTTTACAGAAAATTGTTAATGCTGGCAAAGTTTACTTTCTTGCATTTCGAAATTTGAACTAAAATTATCTTTTGAGGTATTCAATTGACAGTAAAGACATGTTAACGTGTAAGTGCTGGCGTGGATGAGTTATAGAAATGGGCGTGCGTGTGGGTTTGACTGCAAGTATTAGTGGCAGATTTTGTTTCCTGACTGTTCGAATACTTTAAGATCTGCCCAAAAGTCCCACCCGCGTTTCGGAGCGGTTAACACTAACCATCCCGATTCCATAAATTCGAAACACGTTTTTGACGGTTTTTCGTGTCTTTATATCGTGCGTTTATCTAGGCGATCAACGGCTCGAGTCTTGTATGGATTATTGTCACTTCGTCGACAACTTCAGACATTTAGTAGACGTATACTCAGTTATAGTAAATCTGATTTCAAATATACCAAGGCATAGTACTGTATAAGTATCATTAATGATAAACGAATTCAATTGCCCAGATTTAGCAACATATTCATCTCTCGAATGGTTTATGAAGCACGAATTACACAAAACATATCAAGTCGTCGTGATTCAAAGCAATTTCTCCTCCATCAACGAACGTACATACGGAAAAACTCATAACGAATAGTATAATCAACATGCAACATGACTTGGATGATAATAATGAATTCAAATATCGGAATCGAACGTCGACAATTCAAATTGACGATGAATACAGGTGTTTATTGTTGTGACAAGCATCAAAGTCGTTGTGCTTTTCGGCGCGCCAAATTTCGAACAATGGTTATAATTTACTTAATCCTTGCGTCAGAATTGAGTCATTGCATATTTAAACTTTAATTCAAACTTTGTGAGCAGCTAGTTTTCTTAATAATTCTCATGTCCAAATATGTTAATGTAAAAGTGACTCGTTTAACTGTGTTTTCGCTTAATTAAGCAACAAGACTTGCAAGACTACTTATTTCTGTTTCACGTAATAGAAAAATTATCGTTATGATAAAACGTATAATACAAAAATTTTTTCGGTGATAATACCAAAGGCTGTTAATTAATAAACGCTACAATATTCAACAGAGATTCGCTGATAACCTGAACGGTTACAACGTTATACCAATATACAACTGAAATTCGATCACATGGTGACTGTGAAAACTGATTATGATTATGATTATGATTATTTTAATATTGTTAGTGGATTCTTGGTTTGACCCCCAACGGTGAAAAAAATGCTAGTCTACATAAAACTTTTTGGATTTTTCCTTCACTTTGATATTCCTAGTAACATCTTGCATGTCCGCAAGAACAAGTTGCAAAACCGGGAATATCGTAAACGATTAATATTATTGTTGGCATTTTCCGGTTAAAAAATCAATATTCGATATAAGCACCTCCTGTATGAAAATATCCAATATTTGCAACAAACGATAGGGCCTTTTGCCATGTCGCCGTATTGAATTATATACTTTGTATGATTGTTATACACTCTAACTAATTCCAAGTTGGCTAATCGAGGCCTTTTAGCATATTTGTTGTTGCTATTTGACGGTTAACACATTTTTGAGATGGAGTCTCGTATACAGAATTTTATTCACTGGTCATTATTAATGTCATGTGACAATTGGTATTTATTGGAACGTGTTCGTGACAATTTTACGTCGGATCAAGATGTATAACTTACTCTCTTCCACCCGAGACACGATATTGAATTTTATTTTCAACCTATCGCCTACTGTTGATTCAAAGAATAAAAACAATCATGCTTTAGGATGCCCGGCAATTGATAGTTTGATTGAACGGGCTTGTACGAAAAAGTACAAATATTCTTTTTCGTGGTGGGAAATAGAGAGGTTTACCGTCATAAAATCAAGCCAGACTGTTACTATTACAGGTCAAATCATTACTCATGCTATATATAGGCCTAAGCTTTCACGTTTCGGGGAGACGACATACATGTTATTATTACTTGGAAACGCGGAAAAATGTACGTCAGCGTACATTAATGAACTCGCAAGAGTGTATTCATTCCCAACAGACGAGTATGTGAATCCACCTAATGTCAGTCAGTTCAGAAGATACCCAATATGGCTGAAAAATCGCAACAGAGAGATAGGATTTACCAAGTATGATGATAATTACTATCTGGTAACAGATGAAGAGTTTCATTTATACTATTCCCTATACGGTTTCTGTCCTGCGTGTGGAATATTGAGATGCAGTCCCGTGTGGTGTATTTGCGGACACAAGGAAGTATTCAACGGCTGGAGCAGCAACAATAAGAAGCTTGACGAGTTT